TGCTATGAGAGAAGAGATGGTGGAAAGCTTAGAGATGGTTTTATGTCTTTAGGCATGTGTCCTTCTCTCCCCTACCACCTTTCTTTGGTGTATGCAGGGGAAACTTCTGGCCCTGAATTAAGTTGTTTTGTTTCGCCAGCTACTTACTTCTACCATGATATGCTGCCTTGTCTCCAGGCAAAAGCAGTGGGGCCAACAGATGGTGGACTAACATCTACAAGGGCTCTATGTTGAAATATCTTTCCAGGTTGTTTCAGGTGATTATTAATAACAGCTACACAGATTTTCCCATTACCACTTATTGAACATAACCTTTCTCCATGACATGTCTGTTTTCATGCCAGCACCAAGCTGTTTATTATTACATTACAGGCTTTAATACCAGGTACTATAGTGCTTCAAGATTTGATAACTTTTGTCCAGCTTTGTTTTGGCTATTCAGGGTCTTCTGAGTTTTATCTTCTATGCATGAAAAACCGTAATTTTGGTAGAGTTGCTTTTAACCCATAGACCACTTTGGCTGGTATAGATTTTAACAGCATTCAGCCTGTGAACATGGAGTCACCCTCCACTTTTTGAGTCATCTTGAACTCTTACCAGCATTCACTTACTCAGCTAAGTTTATTCCTAAGCATGTTATATAGTCTGATGCTGTCATGTGGGGGTTTTGGAGAAATTCTTCTGTACTGATCTGTGTACACTGTAACTGAATATATACTAGAACAGGTTTCTTCCTTTTGTTGTATTCTTCAGGATTCTCTGCATCTAAAAGCATGTCATTTGCAAACAAGACAATTTGATTTCTTTCCATCCTGGATGCCTTTATTTTTCTTTTCTAATTGCTCTGGCCAAAACTTCCAGTACTGTGTTGAATAAAAGTGTTAACTAGGTGGGATCACTACTCCTGAACTTAGGAAGCTTTCAGCTTTCACCACTGTATTTATGTGGCCTTTGATGTACATAGCCTTGGTTATGTGAGCTGTACTTCACCTAATGTGTTAAGAGCTTTCAGTATGAAAAGATCCTTAATTTTGTCCACTGCTTTTTTTCAGCATCTATTGAGATAGTTGTTTTGTCTTTCATTCTGCTAATATGTTACATCACATTTGCTGATTTATGTTTGCTTCAACTTTCTTAAAATTCCAGACAAATCTCACTTGAGATCTTCTCCATGTGTTGAATTGTACATCTTGGTTGGAGATGGCAATTTTCCTCATTTGACCTATTTATATACCATAAACTGGATTAAATCTCCCTCCCTCCCTTCTCCCCTCTCTCCCTCCCTCCCTCCCATTGTCTTGCTACATTGGTCAAGCTAATTTTGATTTTGTGATCTTAAGGCTTACATTCCTATCATGGTACTTGTTTCATAGCCTTTGTGCATAAATCTATTATAGTAAAGTTATTCAATATGCTCCCAGAATCAGTAGTTTACTAGTATCATTGTATCTTGTATTTTCAGTTACCACTGGATAAGAATTGGGATGTTGCCGGGCGTTGGTGGCGCATGCCTTTAATCCCAGCACTCGGGAGGCAGAGGCAGGCGGATCTCTGTGAGTTCGAGGCCAGCCTGGTCTACAGAGCTAGTTCCAGGACAGCCTCCAAAGCCACAGAGAAACCCTGTCTCGAAAACCCCCCCACAAAAAAAAGAAAAGAAAAAAAAAGAATTGGGATGCTGACATTTAACTCTAGAGGGTTTTTGTTTGGTTTCTTTTTTAAGATGGGATATAATTCAACCACAATATCTATGTTTTTTATTAATTAATTGATCTGTTACAATTTCCTTTGTAGCCAGCTTTAAAAAAAATTTTTTAATACATTTATTTGGGGGTAGGAAAACAAGGTGCTAGCAGCTAAAGTGGAAGTCTGAGGACAACTTGGCAGGAGTTGGTTCTCTCTGATCATGTGACACCTCTCCATGGTGTCAGGTCTTCAAGGGTGACAACAGGTACTTTTACCTGTTGAGCTCTGTGTGCATGCACACATAAGTGAAGTGTCTGAGGATGCGAGGCATCAGATCCCCCTGGATCCAAAGTGAAGCACCCAGAGTGAGCACTGGAAACTGAACTCAGGTCTTTGGCAGGAGCTGCATGTGCTCTTAACTGCTGAGCCATCTTTCCAGGCTCCATGGCCCCTGCATTTTGACAGTTGCTGACAGACCCTGATACAATCTTGTTTGGATTGAGAATTTTGCATCCAAGTGTTTGTTCTGTAACCCTTGTAAACTTTCTTCATTCTTTTTCCTCTGCATGTTTTCATAACTTCCCTTCAGTTTGGTCAGTTCTGCAGTTGATACTGCTACATCCTTTATCTCCTGGGCTGTTCACCTTCAGAATTGATTTTTTTTCTGGTTTTTCAAGACAGGGTTTTTCTATGTAACCCTGGCTTTCCTAGAACTCATTTGTAGACCAAATTGGCCTCCCTGCCTCATGAGTGCTGGAATTAAAGGCTATGTGATGCACACCTGACTCAATTTTTTTTAAGGGAGGAGGTTGATTTCTTTTACTTTTTCACTTTGGCTATTTAGTTTCCCTGACTTAGCTTAACTTGGTATTTTATTGTCTTGCTGAGGTCTCCCCCCCCGTTTTCTTAGACAGGGTTTCTCTGTATTGCTTTGGACCCTGTCCCGAAGCTCACTCTGTAGACCAGGCTGGCTTTGAACTCACAGAGATCCGCCTGCCTCTGCCTCCCAAGTGCTGAGATTAAAGGCGTGTGCCACCAATGCTCAGTGTCTTGCTGAGTTTTAATTGACATCTTTTTATGGTCTGTTTCTGATACTTAGTCTTGTTGTGTTCCCCTAACTGTACTTGACCCTTGTGGCCGTGTGTGTTGTTTGAAGTAGAAACTTGTTAGAGTTTTTTTTTGTTTTGTTTTTTTTCAGATTGAATATCTGGCAAAGTACTTCACTTGTCAGCCTATCCAGAAGTTCTAATAAGGCCATCTGTTTAGCAAGCTTGTTTCTGGAGCTTGGTACAAAATCAATCAGCAGAATGATTTTGTACCAAGTCAGCAAGTACATGACTCACATGTAGGACTAAGAGGATATCTTTGGAACCTGACGATCTGCTGAAGTATACCAGCTGACTACATATGTAAGATGGGGCTGATGCCTGTGCCCCTATGAGTGGACCTACAGCTGGCTAGATATCCTGGAGTAGGCATAGACCACAGAGCTACATGGGACAGTCTAGATACTAGGCTCATATGGTTGGCCTGGATTAACTGAGGTAAATCCAGTGCTAGGATTTACTAGGACATAACTATACCTTGGATCTACTTAGGCCTGAAGCTGCAGAGGAATGAAAGGTAAGGCAATAGGGGCATGCATGGCACTGGATACACACAATTGGAGCATGTTTCTTGGTACCCATGGCTAGTCTTGTGTTTGAAGCCTCAGGCAATGTGGAGTCAAGAGATGCTGAAGGTGGTCTAAAACCCTGGCCCACTATGACCTTGAGATAGGCTTAAACCCTAAGTGTGTAAGAATCAGCCTGGTTCTGGGATTAAGCCACAAAATGAGTAGGCCAGGGTCCCTATAGTGTAGGGAATGGGGGCCAAAGCAGAGGCCTCATTTCCCAGTTCTTCCTGTGAGTTCGTCTGAACACAAGACTGGGGTTGAGGGAACAGTGTTATAAAGTTGTTTTCCTTTATTGTCTTGTGTTGGCTACATGTGGATACTAAGATCTCCTATGGCTTCCTTAGTTCTCATGAAACATTATTGCATGTGGACAGTTAATCAAATTGGTGTTTCTGTGGAAGGAAAAAGATGAGAGAGCTGGAAAATGCCATATTGTCCTTAGCTTGTGTCCCATTCTTCCTAAGTTCACTTAGCTTTTTTAATTTGGTCGGGGTTTTTTTTTTTTTTTTGGCGGGGGGGGGGGCCCACGACGACATTGTTTTTGTTTTTTAAATCTAAGGCATGGCCTTGAGTAAGTTCTTTCTACATGGAGCTCTGTCACACTTCTGTGCCAGCCCAAATGAAGGTTTCCCCTTTCATAAGGCAAAAAGATCCTGTTATACAATGGTAAGGACATATTCCCCATCTGGTTTGATTGTTGTTGTTTTGACAGAGAGTTTCTCTGTGTAGCGCTGGCTGTCCTAGAACTAGCTCTGTAGAACTGGATGGCCTCGAACTACAGAGATCCACCAGTCTCTGCCTCCAGTAATTTAACTGACTTGTTAACCGTTCATATGTGTTAATAATTACCAACAGTGTGAGCCACCCTGTTAAACAATATTATGAACAAATATTTGACAGAGTATATATCCCTGATTGATGACTTACTGAATATACTAAAGTATCTAATACTTCATTTCTTGAAGAGAGAACAGCACAGAGCATCATTTCAACCTCCAGCCGCTAGTGACTATGCTGCAGAAGATGGACTACAACAAGAAATCTTAACTAGATGGCAAAAGTCACAACTCACCCAGCATAGTTCACCTTTTCCCCATATTCACCACAAGCTACATGTGGCAACTCAGCATGTAAATCATAGCTTCAGGGAGTTTAGAAGAATAAAATACCACATCCTGAAGACTTAGTACAAAAAAAAAAACTTATTACATTTTGATTTTAAATATTTGGGTCTGAAGTACATTAATGTTTTTACAACTATTTTAATGTAACCACTAATACCTTAAAATTTAAGTAACGCTCACATCCCACGGAAGGAGTCTGCCCCACTGGCTCGCTTCCCTCCTTAAAAAGCTTGTGTTCACTTTCCATCCTTCTTTCCTTTTGCTTCTGTGTCTGCAGCTAAGACCTCTCGGCTTGTACCTATCGGTTTGGTGGCCTGAGCAATACGAGCAGAAGACCAGTCTTCGGGGACCTACAGGCTCTCTATCAGTCCAGTCTCACAATGTCAAGGTGAGCAACAAGTGGATTCATGAGCTAGTGTGATGGTGTCATGGACTCCCCTCTCTCTTTAATACTTAATGCTTTGAGAGCACAGATGACATTTTCTTCCTGCAACTATTTGAGGACAGTAGCACCATGATGCCAGTTTAGTGTTAGCATTTATTTTAAAAATACACAAAATATATATATTTTTTTTACATCGAATCATCAAAGAGTGATAACCTCGCTTACACACTGCTCCACACTTACCTGGTTTCAGTTTGCACCTTTATGCGAACATTAGGAGAAGATGGAGGAGTTTGATCTAATGTTTTGCTATGGTTGTGTAAACAGTTGAGACCACTATAGAAAGTAGGCTGTTGTAAAAGGTAAAGTAGCCTCAGAAACCCAACAGTAAAATTCAATTTGTTTTAGTAAAATTGGCAGAAGTCTTAGCAGAGATACTCCAAGACTAATTAATTATTGGCTTCTAGGCATTCTAAATATTAAAAACCTTAAGGTTCTCTTCATCATGTAAACATAATTTTAACTTTGTTGGCATTCATTTAAAAAAGGAAAATATTAAACCATGATTTTCATAACCCTGCCCATGTCAGTGTACACTCTCTTTATTATGAGAATGAAACCAAATAAGCAAAATACATCAGGGATTTCAAATTGTACTGCAAAGAAGGCCCGGTTGGTCTCTGCTGGGAGCGATCTCACTTACGCTGACCCTGCCACTGGCCGAGTATGAACCCCTCTGTCCTCTGGGCCAGGCAGTACCACAGGCCACGAGGTGGGCAGATCCTCTTGCTCTGTCTTGAGGCAAGCTGAGACTACTTCTGGCTCTGCCATCCTTCCCTGGGCTTGGATTCGTTGAGTTAGTGGTTTGCTACTATTGTCAAGATTGTACTGTTCCTTTAAGGTACCACATGCCACCATAGCTTACACAACAGTCCTAGAAATTAAGAAAACAAGGTAAGGGAAGATTTTAGCAGGAATAATAGCTATTACTGTCACAATGTGGTTTACAATGAATGGATAAAATACATAAAATACAAATAGTACACCAAAAGCTGCCTAAGTATGTTGCTAGGGTAGCTGCTTGGTCCCTTAAGGGTTTTGAGCCACCATTCCTCAGGGATATTTTAAGGGGTATTATAAAATAGATTTGCTGTATAAACAGACAACATAAACACTTTTAAAGTTGACCAAATAAAAGGGACTTACTAAGGAATATCACCTACATGACTAAGATAATAGGGTACATGTCAGTGGCTTTCTGTACTCAGTTCTACAAATGTACCACAGCTGCATTCAAAGTATTTTCACATTAAACAAACAGTATTACTTTTTAAATTAAAAAACAAAAATGGATTGTACTGAAAGTTGTACAAGTGGTACAAAGATTCAGAGGCAGGATTCTAGTTTAAGCCTGTCTTTTACTGGATGAAGATGATACACAGCTCCCCACAACCACACCTACCCAAACTCTACTATGTGAAAAGGTTCACTCACTTGTCAATATACCAAACGCTAGTCATTACCAGACTGGTGAGAGCTGGGGAAAGAGCTGCCCTGACTTACTATGAATGGAGAGGGAATAAAGATACCAGTTCTCTCCACACACATGGCATCCTTGAAAAGACAGGTCAGAGGTAACCCAGATGCTCTGGGTGGGGTCACGTGCACAATGGACACACCTTTAGCACTTTATCCACCTCCTGTTTGCTCAGCTCTTCTCCACATTCCTGAGTCAGCCGAGACTGTATCATGTTCCGGCGGACTCGGTAATTTTTGGAAAATATTTCAAGCAAAACCTGTCGATGCTTTCATAGAAAAAAAAATGTGTTAGTATGAGAAATAGTATCCAGATGTGAACTATCCAAAATGATAGGCCTAACCCCACCTTGCAGTGTCTGGCAAGTCTGCACACTTGTCACTGCTCCAGACTGCAGTCTGGACTTACAAAAATTAAGCAAGCAGAAAAAAAAAGTTTAAACTGGGTGGGGAAGGTGTCCTAATTGGTTCAGAATCTTGACTGACACTGAATCCAGGAAACTAGAAAAATGCATTATATCCCTAAAGAGAAATTAAATAGCACAGAGGATAAATGAGACCCTCCCCAAAGTATAAAGTTTTAAATGAAAAACTACTGCCAAGTGTGTTGACTCACACCTATAATCCCTGCTGAGGAAGGTGGATCAACATGAGTACAAGGCCAGCTTGGGCTAGAGTGAAAAACTCATCTCAAAAAATGAGAAAAGACAGCATCCAGTATATTTAATATCTCAAATTCCTATAAGGAAAAGGTAAGAAATTTATCAGTCTATAGAATTCTCTAAGAGCCCAACTGTCTTACATAAAAAAATTCAGATGTTCTACTAATACCCAGAATAATAGAAAACTTTCCAGTTTGCAGTGAAGGGAAGAACATGGCTTACAGACCTCACAAGAAGAATGAAGGAATGCACTCCAGCATGAGCACACTGGGTTGTGTGCCTTAGGATGATGGGGACTAAAGCAACCACAGCTGTAGCCATTGCCTCTGAGGAGGACAACGGGGTCCATCAGAAGTGGAGTCAGCTTCCCCACAAAGATTTTTGGTCTTGAATTTTATTTTGATTTTAAATTGAACTTACTACTTTTTTCTCCTTAGCTATCAAAGAAGCTAAGCAGGGAAGCCTGAAGTGACCTTTCCTGGGCAAGAGCACAGGGTCACTTCAGGAGTCCTGGAAGCTAGGCCCCACGCCCACTCTTGCTCAGCCTTCCTGTCCCCTCTGCAGGGAAAGGGAGGGAGACTTCTTGTCTCAGCCTAACTGACAGTACTGCTTAAAAAAAACAAACAGGCTGGAGAGATGGCTCAGTGGATAAAAAGCACTGGCTGTTCTTCCAGAGGACCTGGGTTCAATTCCCAGCATCCACATGGCAGTTCATAACTGTCTATAACTCCAGTTCCAGGGGATCTGATACTTCACACCAATGCATACACAGTTAAACAAATTATTTTTAAAAACAACAAAAAACAACCTTGGAGTCCAGGCAAGTTCATAATTTAAAAGCATCCCAGAACTGCATGACACAAACACAAGAGACCTGGTACCCTCTCGTGGCTGGACAAAACAACCTGAAGTTCAGGGCTGAGACAGCTAACAAGAAAGCCTTTGGATTCCTGCTGTCTGTCAGAGGCCACTGAGAACTGACTCCATATCTGGTCTGCGGGCCTGCCGGACATGTCTATTCCCATGGAAGCTCTACAGAAACTGCATATAGCGAGGCCACTATACTCCAGAAACCAAAGGTGATTCTGTCTTGACACAGCAGACCCCCAAGTTCAGGCTTAAACACTGGTACACCTGCCTGTCTTGGCAGGTGTGGCGTGACTGGAGAACTTGTTGTGTCCACGATGCTCCACCTCCCAGTTCATAGAAGGCCTTAACCTTCTAGGCCTCCCACTCTTGAGAAAGAAAGATGACAAAGACCAACAAAAAAGGCACCTCACCTGGTCACTCATGTCTCCAGACTCCCAGAGAGCAAATACTTTCTGCTCGTCCGGAGAAGCAGCGGTCTGTGGGGGAAACTGGCCCAAGCATGAGTTGGTCATTTTTCTGTCTCATAAATCCACTGCCCTGCCCACTTTACCCCATCTGACCTGCAGCCCAGTCCTAAGAAAGTGTGGTCCAAACCTAGTTCTTCCCCTCAGTGGTGCTGGTGAGAGGACTCAGATGCCTCCCGTACACAGAAAAGTAGGCCTGCAGACCGCAGAAAGGAGGCTCCGCTGGCACAGAGGTAAGGCCTTGGCTGAGCAGCATCCTAGGCCACAGGTACTTATGAGCTTGGTGTTGCACATGGTATACTCCCTACTTAAGAGTCAGTACAGCTGCCCCCCCCCCCAATTTCCCTCATTTGCTTCCCAGGCTGAACAGAGCCTAGGAAAGAGCCATAACAGCTTCTCTCAGGCCACAGCCAGGTACTCCCTTCCGAAGACAGGCAGCAGTCTCTTGCTGTGGGGAGCCTACTCCATGGGCAGGAAAGATCTGCTCAATGGGCAGGAAAGATCTGCAGTAGAAGCAGCTCGCTCCACCATCAGCATGCTTAGTGCCAGAAATGTGAAGAGGCCAGAGTGTATTCAGTCCACTGGCCTGCAAGCCAGGGGAGTCACCAAGCCCCAAGCTGTGGGGATGTGCTCAGCTGATCTCCGTGAAAGCAGAACAGATAGAGCCTCCATACTAAGGTTCAGATTCTACCTGTACCACTCATGTCCTAGGGACTAAATATCAACCAGGTAGAGTACCTATATTTACTGAGGCCTCGGTATATTACCTATCTTTCTTTCCTATGGTAAAAAGACCAACACACCCACTTTAGATGCGGACAGGGAGCCCCAAGGGCTCACATAGTCATCCACATGCAGCCAGCCCAGCTGCCCTCCTGAAGGGCTCTGAGTGACTTTATCTGCCTTTCCTGGCAGGCATAGGCTTTACTTACAGGCACCAGTATCTGCTTGCAGCCAGCGGCCAGCACCGTATCCTGTAGCATGCGGTCAGAGATGCCACTGAAGAGTGTGTGGCCCGGGGGCAGGCCTGCCAGGTGCAGGTTAAAGAGGCGCTTGAGTTCGCTCAGGGTGAGCACAAACTGTCTCTGAAAGGTGGCTTCCACGAAAGCCTTCAGTTCCTGGGTCACTGGGTTGCTAGCACAGCCAGGTATTGGGTGCCCATTTAGGCTGTCCCCACCCACTGCCCGCCCAGCAGGCAGCCCGTTGGCCAACTTGGTGCTGAGGCAGCTACTGGGTGTAGTGTCCATGGGCTCCTCCTCCTCAGCCTCCAGCTCTTCCCCATCTGCTTCATCCTCGCTCAGAGGTTCTTCCTTGATCTGCACACTGGGCAGGACTGTAGCTGCCCGCATCTGTTCCTTCCGTCGCTGCAGCTCCCGCTCCAGGAAGGCATGGTTCTGCTGGGCCTTGGTTTTGGCTGTTTGGACTCGCTGTTCTCCAGAGACCAGCCCAGCAGGCCCTGTGTGGAGAGGCAGTATGGTTCAGAAGGGCACTGGTCCCAGGGAAATAAACGCATGGGAACAGAGGCCAAGCAGGGAACACAAAGACAGCTCCTGAAGCAAGGAATCAAGTGCTGTCTTCCACCTTCCTTGCTGAGGTGGAACTTGGCTACCTAATACTTAGGGAAGGCATCAAACTAGGCACACCAGAATTAGAGCCCTGCTGAGTACCTGCTAGCAGCTCCTGTCACACCACCTGCTGAGCCAACAGGTCTCAGAATCCACCCTGCCCTGAAGGACATAGCCTCTCTTAGTTTAGGGGGCTGCTGAGGCTGTCCTGCTAGACAAGCATTAGGCTAACAGTGGGGGAGGGGGGGAGTAGAAGGGAGGACAGCACAGCCCTTCTTTGGGCCTGATCCCTGAAAAGGACCCCCTTTGGGTCAGGGACCAAGTTGGGAGCCTACCCAGCCTGAAGCCACACACCTGATTGTCCATCCGGCTTCTTTGGCATGGTTTCTTTTACGAGATTATAGACTTTTTCTAATCTGAAAAAAAGAACAAACCCTTTAAACTCTAACCTATATATTGTACTGCCTGCCTCACCATAGCAACGGAGCCCCAAGCCCAGGACACTGGGTCACCATGCACAGAGTTTAGCCAGGCCTCCTCTCCAAGCCCTCCAGTTGCACACATGCCCCTAGGCAGAGCGAGGAGAGCAACCATCCTGTCTTTCTTGCTAGGTTATGTGCCTTTCTCCTCTCTAGCCCCTCAGCACAGCAGCTCTGACAAGCAAGGGGTGTGGGTGCCATCAGCCTTGTACTGGGAGTACTTGTGGTCATTTATGAAATCCATCTTTGTGGAAAGCAGCAGCAGAAGTGCGCACAGCCCTGCCCCAAGTGTCTCTCACTGCCCAGATCCAGGCCAACTGTGCTGTCCCCAGGAGGCAGGTCCAGGGCTGCCTACTACACCTTTCATGCTACCCCACAAGCCCTTACTTGGCCTGGATGCCCGACCACAGCATGTGCTGCCGCTGGACCACATCTGGATGCTTCTTGATAAACTCCAGGTCGTAAGGCAGTAAGAACTCCCAGCCTTTGTTGATCCTCACTACAGCCATGTGCTCCAGAAAATCCTTCACATCCTCAGCGCAGAGCTGAAGGGGGGAGGAGGAGTGTAAGGCAGCACCAGCCCCAAGCTTCCCCCGTAGCAAGCCCCGGGCCATGAAGAACACCACTTACTTTGGTCACTGCTGCCACCTCCTTCCTCACCACCCACCGGCTCTGTGTGAACTTCCACATCTGAGGAAGAAAAGCATCATGTTCTAGGAGGCAGCAAGAGGCTTGAAAGAGGTCTGGGCAAGGGTGCAGAGGAGGCCCAGAACTTGGGCGGAAGGCCAAATGGGGTTCCTTGCCCAGCTCTTCTTAGTATGTGCCTTGGGGATCCTCTTTACCACAGCCACGTTCTTTACAGACATTCTGTCCTTCAGGATGGCTAGGTCACCCATTCCATTCAAAACAAAGTGCTCAACGGACACAGCCTTGCTCACCTGGTTCACTATTGCATCCCTAGGGCCCCCTAAGAGTGTCATGAGGACTCAACAAGGTACTGCCCCGTGCGTGGCAACACTCCACTGTGGCAGCTGCTGACAGCTGGCATGGCTTCCCAGAAGCTCAGGCTCCCTCCGACTCTGCCTCATCAGCTGTCCTGTCCCTGATCTACTTCCAGGAGTCTCAGGAGAGGCAAGAGGACACATTTCACACAGATCTAGCAGGCTCCCACACAATGTATGTGCCCAACAAAAGCAAAGGGCATCTGTGCATGAATGATGCCAGGTGGGAGCAGCATTCCATGCCCCAGGTCAAACACACTGCCGAGGCCCCTCAACTCCAACTTGCCCAAAAAGTCAAGACTATCTAATCAGAAAAGCCAACACAGCTGTCTTCAAACACTCTAAGGGCTGCTTCCTTCCATGACAAGCCTGTGCATGATCACACGGTTCATTGTGGATAAACCTAAGCAGTCACATTCAGCAATTCGCAGTGTAAATGCCAAGGTTCAGGGAGCAGTGCAGATTCCAGAGACATGAGTTTGAAACCTTGGGAGGGACTTAAGCTCTGGATATAAACAGGGCAGAGAGGAAGGAGGAATGAGGTAGCTCAGACATGTAGGAAGGAAGAAGTGCCCGTCTATGGTAAAAGGAACTACTGGATCCATCCAAAGTAGGTGCTGGGCAGGGCTATGGATCCAATGCCACCAGACTGTCAATCTCTCGTGGGAACTGAAAACCTAATTTATTGCAAAATCCAGATTTAAGTCTTTGTACCACCCACAGGATAAGCAGAACCCTCTGGAATGGCAACAGGGTGTTATCAGCCCAGAATGCCCAGGCAATGGATTACCAGTGGAGCCCCACACGGTGGCCTGCTCATTGACCTTGCATGCCAGAGCTCACCACCTGCTCTGGATTTCATCCCTCCACTCCCAGCTCTGTGGCCAGAGTCTAGATACTTACAACAAAGTCTCGGCCCCTGCAGAGCACCTCAGCTGGCATACCACTGTGAGGGCTGGAAGAATCCTTGGGATACAGGATGTCACTAACAAATCAAGCAGAGATAGCTGGTCAGTCCCTGTCTATAGTCCTATCACCATCACATCCAACTTTGGAAGCCCAGTGCTCACAGTCCAAGCCAGGTCAGGTCACATGCTTTTGCAGGCAGGCAACAGGCTTGAGTCTGCAGCCCTCTTCCCAGGCCCAGGAAGACGTGGGAAAAAGCAACCCTTTCCAACTCACCACACCACATACTGACCCAACTCCAGGGAGGAGTTAGGGGCTCTCAGACACATAAGCTAGGAACCTCACAGAGCCCAGGACTCTAGAGAAGGCCCAGAACCCACTGCTTAAATGTTTGTGGCTTTAAGAGAAACTAGTGCTGAAGCAAGCTGCAAGGCCGCCCCTGCCTGCCTAGAGAGATATGCATTAGCTGTTCAAAGATACCTGCCTGCCCTGGATCATGAGAAAACAGACTGCACCCAGGGCCCGAGGCACACAACATAACTCCCACCCTACCTCCAGCCACAGTCTCAGGCCAGCTTTTAAGGCTCTCCTGCTGGAGGCCCTCCCCTCATGCCTGAGTCCTGAGCAACTCATGCTCCAAGGCTCAGCTCCGTGGGCACAGACCTGGCTGCCACACAGAGGTAGAACCCACTGTACACTGAACCTAGGCAGGCACATGTAGAGGACCCTGCTCTGGGGCTAGAGACGGACTGGATGGTGTGGTGCACAGCACATAACACACAAATAAGCCACGTTTGAGTCAAAATGAGTTCTTAGAACTCTCAGATACAAAGATAGACCTGGCTGGAAGGATCGCAGCCCCCACACAGTAGACTCAACAGACGAGAGAAGGCTTCACAGAAGCCCAAGCTAAGGAGACAGGCCATACTAGTACTTCCAAGGGCAGGCAGAAGCCTGGCTGATTCAGAGCTTACATTCACCTCTCGGCCTCTCGATCAGTGTCTTCAGATGTGTATGTGATTTGACAGCCCATCCTGACTTCTACTTGTTCACAGTCTAAATACAAATAGTACTCACCCTCACATTTAACAAGCAATGTGTCACCGATAAAATTCTTCCATAAAGAAAATTGGGTAATCCAACAGCAAGGTCTATTTACCAGCGAAGGGTGCCACCATGTGGCAGTAAGAGGAATACACTTTACCATAAGGTTGGCAATCAAGTGATAATGAGGTTAATGCAAAGAAAATGTTTTGAATTTTAGAGCTATTCACATTTTACATTATTCACTTCCCACTATACTGTTCAAAGGGTGAGCCTCTGTTAATGTATTTACTGTAATAGCATTTCATTCTAATTAAAAGTAGGCATTACCAGGATTGGCTTGACATGTTCTAGACATGGCACTGAGAGCTAGGCTCAAGGGATAAAAGGACATGACTATCTCTACTCCCTCAGAACTGACCATCTGATGGAAGAATCAGAGGAGAAAAGAAGCTACTGAAAACACTGCGCCAAAGTCATGACCTGTGTGTGGACCCCAACAGGCAATGTACAAAGAAAACCACACTTAGACACTTCCTAATGCAACAGTGGAAAGTCCAAACAAAGAGAAATGCTTCAAAGCAACCAGAGGAAAACCAAGATTACCATCGAAGAACACGAATTAGGCTGACAGGAGACTCTTCAGAAACAACTACCATCAGAACACAGTGAAGTCGGGCTGGGAAGGCAGCTCACAGGATAAAGCACTCGCTGCAAACCCTTAGATCACACATGAAAAGCTAGGCCGGGAGTCAGAAAGACGGCTCAGCAGTTAAGAGTGTGCTGTTCCAACAGAGGACCTGAGTTTGTTTCCCAGCATCCACATCCAGTGGCTGCTGTACAGCCACTATAACTCCCAACTCCAGAGGGATCTGACTCCTCTGGCCTCCAAAGGCCCCTGAGCTTACCTACAACTACCCACAAGCATACATATAATTAAGGGCAGCCACCAATAATTCCAGCACTTGGGAGAGAGAAAGCGATCCCCATGGCAAGCTGGCTAGCTAACCTAACAAGGATGGGGAAAGTCCAGGTTAAGCAAGAGGTCCTGCCTCAATAAAGAGAGTGGAAAGCAATCGAGAAAGACACTTGACATTAACATTGGGCCTATACCCACATATGAACACATACATGTATGTATACCACATACACAGAGAATCATACCAATCAATGCATGAGGGGAGAATAATCACCAACTTAAAAACAGAGGAAAGCTATTACTTGCCGATCTGCATTAAACACTAGAGCATTCTTTAGGTGGACCGAAGTTATCCCAGATGGGAACTCAGATGCACACAGAGTGAAAATACGATACAAAAGGCAGACGTGTGAGTAAACCTAAGAACACTGAATAAAGTCTAGTGGGCCTGAAAATATAGACAGAATCAAAATATACACATGGGAGGTAAATAACTAAAATATTCTAAGGTTTTTTAACTGTCTCGGAAGAGAGTAAAAGACAATGTGTAGCTGTGCGGTTAGATGCATGCCCAAACTGTAGGGAACCAATAAGAGTCAAGAGACTAAATTAGGATGAAAAAATAGTATAAAAAAATAGAAACAGAGTCCTGTAAAACATAAAATGCAACTGGGCAGAGCAGCATCAATAACGTAATTAAATTACAGACTCCAAGCAGCTTACCTTTTCACCACCCAGTTCCCTTGAACCAACATCGCCACCTTCTGGATTCCACGAAGAACAGCCACAGAGTCCACGGAGGGGCCAAGGAGGCTCATAAGATTGGCAAAAGGCATGACTTTCACTGAGGTGGACAGACAAAGGACACGACTCACTGGTCAAGTGAACAGAGGCCTAGCCCTTCTATCCTCCCCACCAGTGCTTGCAGAGCATCAAGCTCCCAGCTCCCATAACTCCTAGAAGTGTGAGCAGGGCCAACAGTGCCAGCAGTAATCACGGCTGATGGTGGGCTGTATGCCAGGTTTGTGTCTCTCACAGAACAAATGTGAGGATCCACATCAAAAACCAAGGAGTATGGAGAAGAGTCTGTCATTACTAGGCCCAAAAAGAGTTGAAACCACCCCTTCCTTCAGCAGTTGGAAAAGGTAGAGCCAGGATTTGAACCTGAACCACCTGTGAAGCCTCAGGGAATCCAGGGCAAAGCCCAGGGAAGGTCCAGAATCCTCTACAGAAGCCCAGGAATGGTACAGAGCAGCAGAGAGCCCCACCCCCGTCTAGGCCTAAGGCTTTATTTATACTGGTTTCTCAGAAGCCCAGAGCCTGGGACTCAGCCCCCAAAGGTTCTGTGCCTCTGTCTAAGAGAAAAAGGAGCCAGTCCTTATTGTGTAAAGCCCAGTAAGGCACCAAGAGCGAGACAGTCCTACTTCACATCCTGTGTGAGACTGTGTGTTCAGACCCATCAGTGTCCAGGAACCCCTACTAGGTGGCCTGACCAAAGCTCAGGCCATCCTGCTCAGGATTCTGCAGCAGGCAGCTGGCAAGATTTCAAAAGCCCACCTGATGGACCCTGACACAGCGGTGCATTATGGGATCTGGGCAGACTCTAGGAAGCAGGGGCTGCTGGCTTTGGCCCTGGGGCAGAGAGCAGCACTCACCATTCTTCATCAGGACCTTAATCTGATCAGCCAGGGGCAATGTGCGCAGCTGGGCCATGGATAGGACATTGCTGGGAGCCACTGGCTTGTCTCTGTTAGAAGAAGGGATGAGTAGTTAGAGGAGGCCAGTAGGAGGTAGTGGGAGATACTGGGGGGACAGCCCTTACTCACTTCTCTTCCTCCAGGCTGGGTGGCATGAGCATCATGAGGTATTCACTGTAAGGGATGGGGGTGGAGGGGTGTCAGAGGCTCTGTGGACTCTGCCTCACCCCTGCATGTGAGCACAGACCACAACCAGATTGAAACTTGGGGAGGTTTAAGTATAGGCCCATCCTCCCCATCCCCAACAGTCCCCAGCTCCTAGACAACAGTCCTATAGAACATGAGGGTCACCTATCCCAGGCCACCCTCCTAGGACGTCTCCAGGGGCAGTGTCCCTCCTTCACCCTGCCCACACAGATAATGGGCCATAGTCCCAACAGGAACTTTCCCAGAGACTCTAGCGAGCACCAGCCAGTCCCACCTGGGAGATTTGACAAGCTCTGTGTTCTCCACCCCACTGGATCCCTGGCACAGCAGGTACTGGCGCTCATGCTCCGAGCGGCTATCCTATGGGGAAAAGGCAGAACAGATCATGACCCCACTCCAGCCACTCACTGCCTGCTCTAAGGCCAGCCACAGGCCATATGCAGTGTCTTAAGCACAGCATACCCAAAGCCTCTGCAATGTGGTCTCAAACCACCTACTCCCTGGCTTTAGGACCCCAGCCCTAGTGCTCTATAGTGCAGAAACACCAGCAAGGACTAGAAGTGAGCTAGCATTCACCAAGCAGCTGCCATGTGCCAGGTTCAGTACCAATGCTCACTCACACAGTAACTAACTCTACAGGGCTCTTACTATTCTTGTTTCAGACAAGAAAACTGAGACTCAGGAAGAGAAGGCAATTTTCCCAGGGCCACACAAAAAGAAGCTGTAGTGTATCTAAGTCTGACCCTGAATCTAAGGCTCTTCCCATACTAAGCTCTTCCTGAAGGTTTCCATTGGTCCTTCCCGCAAAGATCAGGCAGCTCTAGGCCAGGCACCTAGGAGCCAATGCCTAATTGCTTCCTTTACTCAGTATAGCATCAGGTACTAGGTTGCAAAACTCTGAAAACCAAATATATTAAAACTTGTCCTGCCAGGTGGTGGTGGCGCACGCCTTTAATCCCAGCACTCGGGAGGCAGAGGCAGGCGGGTCTCTGTGAGTTCAAGGCCGGGCTGGTCCACAACCTCCAAAACAATACAGAGAAACCCTGTCTCGTAAAAACCAAAAAAACTTGTCCTGAATAGGCAGGCAATAACCTGAGACTATGTGACAGATAGCAGATTCTTCGGTGTGAGCCCAGATGAAGTGTCTAGTCTGCAATCAGCATTCATGGTGTGTACAAAACTAACCAAACACCAGTCCAACTGCATGAACAGCTAGGGGGCTAGAAGCCCTAAAGTGTTGACAGTGGATCTCTGTTCCCACTCTGACACCGGCTAAGTGGGATGTGGACAAGTTGCCAGCTGCTCACAGGACTTTCACACTCTATGGTACGACCAAGGAGCCCACACACACTGAAGCTAAAGGTAAGCGCGGCCGTGCATCAGGCTCTTCCCCAGGACCTGCCCTGGCTCACCTTTACACCAGAGTAGTGCAGGTGGACCCAAGGCTCCTCCGCATGCTTCTTCTGAAGGAACTCATAGGACTGCACACGGCGCTGGCGGGCCTGCTCTGACTCTGGTCGTGAGAACCGCACCTGTGGAGAGGGGAAAGGTCACACCCTTGGTCTATGACCCCCACAGCTCTTGCCAGACTATAGAGAGACAGGCAGACAGACAGACACAGACAGACACACACACACACACACTTCATAGCACTTGCATTCCACCTCCCTCTTCGCTTTTGAAATTCAATCTGTGAGCTGCCAATGCAGGGTGAGCGGTGTTTTCTTGCTTCTGCTGACCCTGGCCAAGGTTTTCCAGCTGGGCCATAGGGGTAATAAGCATACCTTTTCAGATGAGGGTGCTTACCCAGGAGGTTTTAAAGGCTACCCAACAAGCTGCTGAGAACAGGACAAGGCTTAAGTTCTCTGCCACATCACTTCAGGAGAGGACAGCCCACCAAGATGTGCAAACTCTATAGCCATTTCCATGCCAGCTACAACTTTATTGAGCAACATTTTTCTTTCAATGCTCATTGTAAGCTACATATACATAAATAATGCATATAAAGGAGGAACCTCATAATCATGTGTGGAAAGCTAATATTTTTCTAAATCTTTCAAAATCAAGATTAGCCAGGCTAGCCACTCTTCTGTACCCATCAAAATAGCAGAATCATAAAGGTGATTAACATGGAACTTTGTAAGCCTATGAGGGCTTCATGGGGCTCCTGGGCGTACTACCTCCCTGGTCCCAGTAACACCTGCCACACCCAGGATCCCAGCTATTACACAGAACAAGGCTATGCCATTTACACAGGAGTCAGGCTGGGCAGATAGCAGGCATCTCCAGGTAGCAGATGATGGGCTCAACAATACTCTGTGCCTGTTATTCTCAAGGATGGGGAAGTCCGTTCTGCTCACCCTGCAGCTCTTGCTATCTTTTGCCATCTATGCTGCTCCCTCCTTCCAGGGCCAGAGCTCACCGTGATCTGCTTAACGTCCTCTTCTGCCTCGTCCTGAGAAGAATCCCCTGCTGCAAAACAAGCTGTCAATACAGCCTCTGCTGGGATTGCTCATTCCACCCCAACACCACCCTCCCCCAGGAAGGCGGGGGGGGGACGGGGGGACGGGGGGACCTGTGGTCTTAATTGGGGCAGTTTAATTAACTCTGAGGCAATGTTTGGCAATCTGTGGGGACATTTTTTTTGGTTGTCCTAAATGGGGAGTTAGGGGCATTTAGTAGGTAGGAGTCTGGGGCGCCAGTAATCATCCCACAATCTGACCAATTTCTTAGGCTCACCCTCATTGGCTGCCTCCCTCTCGCGGTGCTTGGCATCTGCCTTATCCAGGTAGGAGAAGCTGGGCCGAAGCTGTAGGATGCCATGTAAAGGTGTCAGGTGGAGTTCACCTGGCAAAGGAAGAAGGGCTTGAACCTGCCCCTGTGAGCCACAGCCGACATACCCAGCTTACTCAAAGGAGTCACCAAGTCCCCCTTAGCCAAACCACCGATCCTACTCCAGTCCTAATCTAGCCTCTTTAGCAACACCAGGCCAGGAGGTATTTCCAACTCTTATCTGATCCTGCCAGGTACAGCAAGCACGCCCTGGAGCACGAGCCTAACTTTGCTATGCCATTTCCTTGAGACTTACCTCCTGATACTCCCCAACACCATGCGCCTCCCCACCCACGTCAGTCTCCTTTCCCCACCCTACTGCTCCCTCTAGCCACCCCTCTTCCCTCTTTGGCACACTGCTGCTGCCGGAAGCCCTACTGGAGTGCATCTTCTGACCTCCTCGGGCACCAGGCATGCACACAATGCACATACACACATGCAGACAAAACATTCACACATGCAAATATTAAAAAAATTTAAAGAAATGTAGCTTCAAAGAGATACAGCCTTGAGAACAGACCATAGGAGCTATGGGCCATTATTTGTCTTTTGTTTGTTTTTAGTTCTTCAAAACAGGGTTTCTGTGTAGCCCTTGCTCTCATGGAACTTGCTCTGTAGACTAGGTTGGCCTCAAACTCAAGAGATCTACCTGCCCCTGCCTCCCTGAAAATGTGTGCCGCCGCCACCACCACCCAGCTAAGACTTTTTTTTTGGTTTTTCCAGACAGTGTTTCTCTGTGTAACAGCCCTAGCAGTCCTGAACTCATTCTGTAGACCAGATTGGCTTCAAACACACAGAGATCTGACTGCCTCTGCCTCCTGAGTGCTGCTAGGATTAAAGGTGCATGCCACTTGGGACGTGACTTTTGAATCTATTTCCTCTGTACTCAGATCCACGTCACTCGCTGCTCTGCAAACTCCAAATGCTGTATAAAGTGAGCATCTGACACATGTGCTGATGGGCTCTGACACACCCTAGACATTCACCCATTTGAAGCACACACCTTGATATAGGTTAATATAGTCTCAGAACTGTAACAACTATGCCGTTCTCAACTTTAGCACATTTTCATCACCCCAAAACAAACCTGTCACTTGCCACATCATCCTTTCTCTGGTCCTGGGGACAACCAGTCAGCTCTATGCCTCTACAGATATGTTTATTCTGCAGTTCATAAATTAGAATCATGTGATATGATTTTTAGTTCTGTCAACCTAACATACAGTCTAGAAACACCTAGAAAAAGTATCTCAGTGAGGGAGTCAATGGGCACATCTGTGGGGCTTTGTCTTGACTATGAGGAAGACCCACCCATTGTGGGTGGGACCACTCCAATGGGCTGGGGGTCTTGGACTGGAGTGGAGAAAGGAAGCTGAGCACTAGCATGTGTGTATTCACTCACTGTTCTCATCTTGACTGTGGATGTAAAGTGGTCACTTCCTGCTGCTGCGACCTGCCAACAATGATGGCCTGTAACTTGGGACTATGAGCCAATTAAAATTAAACCTTTCTCCCAAGCTGCTTTTTTTTTTTTTTTTTTTTTTTTGGTTTTACGAGACAGGGTTTCTCCATATTGTTTTGGAGGCTGTCGGTCCAGCCTGGCCTCGAACTCACAGAGATCCTCCTGCCTCTGCCTCCCGAGTGCTGGGATTAAAGGCGTGCGCCACCACTGCCCAGCGTCCAAGCTGCTTTTGTCAGGGTGTTTCATCACAGCAACAGGAAAGAAAACTAAAACATGTAAGCATGCAGTCTTTATTTATTTATTTTGAGGCAAGGTCTATCTACATAGCCCTGATTGTCCTGGAACTTACTATTGTCTCCCAAATGCTGGGATTAAAGGTGTGCCGAGATTAAGTATGAACCATGCCTGGCCATTTGTAGTCTTTTGAGCCTGGTTTCTTCCATGATTTTAAGGTTCACCCTTGCAGAAGCACACATACATCAGGAATCACTCCTTCATACAACCAGATAAGGCTGTTCATGGATATGCCACGTTGGTTTATGCAAGCATCACTTAATGGGCTTTGGGTTCTTTTCATTCTTTAGCTCTCATGAATAATGGCCCTATGGACATCTCTGCCCATGGTTTTAAGTGGACATACTCTCATTTGTCCTCAGTAGATGCTGCCTATGAATAGGATTCCTGGGTTTTAAGTACCCTGAAATTAAAAAGGACAAAATTCTGCTACCTGTCCCCAATACTATGCTATGTTGTATATGCGTTCCCAGGAGCAAACTGACTTGAAGGTCAAGCTCTATCAAGCTGGGAGTGCCCAGCAAAATTCCCGTTGTAGTGCTTTTACTCCATAGTTTGTCATTTCCACGCTGCCTTGATCCTGCCTGGTTTAGTGTTCAGTAGGAGTTAAGAACATGCATTAGGCTGGGGAGACCTAGGCTGGGTGAGGTCCCCTAGGCCCAGCCCACCTTGTGATCTCCCCAGGGTATAGCCAGACCCAGGTACCTTGCCTGTAGAGTGCAGCTGCATAACGGGCCGTGTTGCTGGTGGTCTGGGAGGAGCAGAAGGTCTGCTTGTCCATCAGTTTCCTGGGAGCACAAGGAGAACTAGTATGAAGGCTAGGACGCTCCAGAGAAGCTAGTCAACCCCATTCCATCCCAACATCCCCCAAGGTACACTAGCTAGAGCTAAGGGATGAGAAAACTCATAGTTTTGTCTGTACACCAGCAGATGAATGATGGATGTGGCTCCAGAGGCCAGTTTCCCAACTTGGGAGGGAAGGTCTACAACACTCTATGGTTAAAGGTAGAGACCTGACATGATGCGGATCCCAGAAAAAGAGCATAAAGGGCCCCATGCTTCTGAGGCCTCTGCAGACTCCTCTTTAACCTTTACCTGCAATAGAACCCTAGGGGCAGGGACTCACGAGGAATATGTGCTAGTCTCATCAGCACAGGCACCATCCACGTTCAATGCAATCTGTTCCCCTTTGCTGCGGCAGTAGTTGGGATTCAGGGTGTCAATGGCCATCTCAAGCTCTACCTGGAGTTACAAAGTACCACCCAACTTGGAAGGTGCCATGGCACAGCTCCCAAGGAACACTCCCAGCCAGGTCCCTACCCAGAAGCAAGACTGACCAGTGCCCCTCCCACTGGGCCCCTGGGTTTTGTTCCACACGGAGGTCACCAGTGAAATTTCAAACAGAATTATCATGGAAAACAGGTATAGTCATGTTTGTGCCCTACTCTTCCACACCCCAAAATCAGAATGAGAAATTTTAAAATTAAGATGTCATCTCCAATTTTAGCATCCTGGAACAGCATCTTCCCGTGACTACAGAGCCTGAAACAGATGGGGAATTTGTTTGGGCTCCTCCTTGTCCCCTCATTCCACCCTATATGGGTACAGGACCTTCTTCTATCCCACTTGCTTTAGGCTCACCCCTACCCACACCTCAGCACCCAGGCTTCCCCTACTCCACCTTTCAATCAACCGTGAGCCTGATTCTGCCAGGGCTGCCTCTCCTTTCTGGAAATGCTTTCCTTCCTTGGCTTTCAAGACCCGCACACTGCTGTTATCCTAATCCTTCCACTGTTCCTTCTCTTCCAGAACCCCAAGTGTCTGTCTTCTTGCTTCCCTCAACCCCCATTTATCCTCTGCACCCCACTTCCATCTTGGAGGATAGCCCCACCTTCTGCTGCTTGGGCTTGATCTTGGCTGAGAGATGTGGGATGTCATCATAGGTCATCGAAGCTGGACGCACAGGGTACTAGAGACAGAAAGGCATCCATCAGTCCACCCTGCTCAAACTAGAGCAGGCATCAAGGGTTCCAGTGAAAGACTGATGAGTAGCCATTCCCATTCATGATACGCCCACCCCACCAGAGACCAGGGTACCCAGGCCCCAATCTGAAACTTTCACCCACAGTCTGACTCACTCTGGGGCCTCTTGAGCCTCCTGCTGCTGGACCAAGTGACATGGCTGAGTCCCTTAGCACCCTGAAAATCTAGAGCAAGGCTATGGGAATTTAAAGTAGTGGGAGCCCAAGGACACAATGACACTTTGAAGGCCACTGGGGTGAGAAAGGAGACAAGAGGAGGCCAAGAGGGAAAACAGGGCTGGCCTACGAATGCTAGTGCTGAACTGGACAACAGATACGGAAATCTGTGACTCCCTTCTCTCTCCTTAGAGTCTGTGCTTTCCACACACAGCCTCTGCAGAGGGGTCAGGGAACTGGGTTGCTCCTGTGTATGTCACACACACAGCGCCCTTCCACAGGAGTCCCCACAGAAATACTGGCTTTCTCTTCTCTCCCATGAAAGCTGCTGATGAATGAACTCCAAATCAGTCCCCCAAATCCTCAGCTCAAGCCATCAATGCCTAGTACCCAACAGCCTCTGCAGTGCACTTAAGGAGGTACAGAGCTTGGGCAGAAGCTCAACTTTTGGGACCACTTCAGGTCAGCTACATTTAGCCTAGGAGGGGATAAGTGGTCACTTCCTAAAAACTACTCAGTAGTAACACCAGTGCTATTCCGGCTTCCAGCTGAAGCTGGATAAACTTTGGTGAGAGGAACAGCCTGGAGCACACGTGCTCTAGGTAGGGCCCTAAGAAGAACCAGCACTGGGTGAGATCTGCCCTCCTTCGAGAGCTCACAAAGACACTGAGGTGCCTGTACTGAGATCCAGAGCTCTAAACTTGCCCTACTCCAGTTTGAGGGCTGGTAATAAGCCACAGGCCTGGGCTATAGTACTTACTCCGGTGTTCTCCCTCCCAAAGCTGCCAAGAATGTGAACAAAGCAGACAGAGCAGGCACCAGCAGAGCCCAGCACACAGTGGACACACATGACTGTCATAGAGACTCTGCAGTCAGTCAAGGATGCAGGTAACCCTTGGGGAATGGAAGCCTCTTCTCTGCACAGGCATGGAGCACTGCTGCTGCCCCTGCCACCTGCCCCAGGCACTGGAGAGCTCAGAAGCCTCCAACTCATTCTCTTATGTGCAACACAGAATCAAAGTGCTTCTAGTAACCACCTTCTATTGGGAATGTAAAATGGTACAAAACAGTCCGCCAAGTCCTCAAAAAGTTGAATGCAGTATGATCCAGCCAATCTATTCCTATATATACACCCAAGAGGTGAAACACAGGTTCATACAAAAACACAAACACAGATGTCTAAAGAGCATTATTCAATACAGTAGCCAAAATGTACACAACCCAAATGCCCATCAATTGATGAGTGGATGAACAAAATATACTGCAGCCACAATGGATACTTTTGTGTGTTTGGTTTTTTGTGTACGTGGAGGTCAGGGCAACCTCAGGCATCATTCCTCAGGAGCCATCCACTTTGTTTTTTGAAACAGGGTCTCTCATTGGCCTGGAGCTCACCATGGTGATTTGAAAGAAAATAGCTCCCAAAGGGAGTGGCACTATTAGAGGTGTGGTATTCTTGGAGGAAGTGTGTCACTGTGGGGGTTTGGATTTTGAGTTCTCTTTTGCTCAAGCTTCCCTTAGTGTGACTTTCAGTTGACTTTGTGTTGCCTACAAGATGTAGCACTCGGTCTGCCTGCACACCACTATGTGTCGTCCCCCAACCCCACCACCGGCAAAAAAAAGTTGCTGTGGTCACTGGCAGCAGTGGTAGTGCACGCCTTTAATCCCAGCACTCGGGAGGCAGAGGCAGGCGGATCTCTGTGAGTTTGAGGCCAGCCTGGTCTACAGAGCGAGTTCCAGCCAAAGCTGTTACAAAGAGAAACCCTGTCTCAAAAAATCAAGAAGAAAAAGAAGAAGAGTTGCTGTGGTCGTGGTCTCTTCACAGCAATAAAAACTCAAACTAGCCGGGCGTTGGTGGCGCACGCCTTTAATCCCAGCACTAGGGAGGAAGAGGCAGGCGGATCTCTGTGAGTTCGAGGCCAGCCTGGTTTACAAAGTGAGTTCCAGGACAGCCTCCAAAAGCTACAGAGAAACCTTGTCTCGAAAAACCAAAAAAAAAAAAAAACAGAAAACAAAAAACTCAAACTAAGAAACTCACTAAGTAGGCAGGCTGGCTGGCCAGGTTATTGACCTGTCTCTACTCCCCAGTACTAGGATTACAATGTCCACACACAAGCACATACCATCACACCCAACTTTTGAGGTGGGTTCTAGGGACCAAACTTAGGTCTTCATACTTGCACAGCAACCACTTACCACCTCACAGAGATCTTCTTCTAACATAAAAATGAAACAATGATCCAGGCTAAAACATGGATGGCTCTACTAAAGCCCACACGTGCTATTTCATCTACATGAGAGATTCCAAACAGGCAAATCCATAGAAACAAAGGTAATGGTTGCCTAGGGCTAAAAATGAGAATGGAGTCAGTGCTGACTAAACGTGAGTTTTCTCTCAAAGGGACAAAATGTACTAAAAATAGATTGTGGTGCTGACTGCACAGCCCGCACAGGCCCCAAATATGCTAAAGTCTTAAACATGGTTCACTTATATGTAGAAAGTATGGTGCATGAACCATCACAGCACTATTATGGGATTGCGTTAGCTTAGGTAAGCAGTGCTGGATCACAGTAGGTATTCAATTCATGCTAGCCACAGCAGGGAAGGGCAGTGAAAGTCTAACAACTTGGGGCACACAGGAAGACAGGCCAAAGGTTTGCACATGGTCACAAGGATGCTCTGGAACGCCCCTGTAGCATTAACCTCTTCCCTAGGCAGTGGCCTAAGCATTTCAATGTAGACCATTCAACCTTACAGAATCTCTATGAGGCAGGTAGTGTAGCTATCAGAACACTAAGGCACAGAGATGAAATACTTCCTCAGGGGCTGGAAGCTGAGCCCTGATGGAGTTGGAAGTGGCTGGTCTGGCCCAGCACCCGAGCTGCTCACTCTGCATCCCATGTGGTCCTGCTTCCCCATCTTACTAGGTAAGCTCTGCCTTGCCTCCTGCCCAGCTCCACCACTCCCTCAACATCGACTTTCCCCTTTACCTGCAAGTCCCATCATTACCTGAAACAGATACAGCTTCTCTGCCAGACTTTTGGCCAAGTATACGTCGATCTGGGAACAAGGGGAGAAGACTTAGCCAGGACAAGACACTTAAACCAGGCCCCAGCACTCAGACAGGATCAGGGGCTCACAGAGGCAGCTTAGGGAAGGGGAAAAAAGTTCATATCATACTAACAGAGGTAAGCAGGCCAGGCCTCCAAGTCAAGTCCATCTAGAACGCCCTTTCAACAGCTACCAGGGAACCAAGTCAAGAGCCTGCTTGGCCCCTACCCATGTCACTCTAACCTGGAAGAACACACATGTCTGGGTACTGAGATTGGGATGCCTCCCAAAAAAAGCACTTTCTGGGAGATTGGGGGTCCCCCTCTACCTACTGTGTTTGTTCTCTCTGCTTTCTCCCAACTTACCACTCCGGCATCTGCGTGTCACCCTATTTTAAGAAGGTCTGCAAGGCCCTGTGTGACCTACCTGTCTCCTTTTCCTTCCTGATGCTGACGACCAACATTCCTGACTCCCAGGCTCTGTACACAAACTATGTTCGCTCCTGCCCATGGGCCTTTGCACACATGCTTTCCTCTCCCTGGAATGTCCTTCACATAGGCCTCTGACAACATATTTATCCCTAGAAACTCAGTGGAGTTACCACTTGAGCAGAAGCTGGCCAGGGCTGCCTGGCTGCAGAGGGGGCTCCCTCTGTGCTGTCTCCACTCGCCTCTGTGGTAGACCATAGCTATAGCTTAAGTGCATTTAAGTGACTCAAATCTAAAAACTTAGTACCCCACAAAGGAGGAACCACTCTGCCTGTAGCCTCCTGGCCCATGCCCCTCAGACTCAGGGTGGGTTCCAGCTACACCCAAGGAGGCCAGGGGCAAAAGCAGTCATGTTTTGCCATTTGCTTTCCAAAAATCTAGGACCTGGGCTGGAAGGATTCTGAGAGTGAGTATAATAACAAACAACTTTGTCTTTCTGTGACTGCCCACAATATTTTGAGGGTCCTTGCCTGTCTCCCCCATAGGCCAGAGGCTGCCTGGAGGCAAGGACACAAGCTTGGTTGCTATAATGTCATTGCCCTGGTACACAGTGAACAGAATGAAGAACTGCTGAATGACACAATCTGGTAAGCCCACACGTGGGAGCCAATCTCTTTTCAGTCACTTGCATCTGTTCAATGTCAAGCCCTGCAGCTGGCTTTGCAGAGAGTGGGACAGACAGAGAGCATGTTGGATGAGGTCTCAAAATCAGGGGCTGCTGGGTCACTGTCCTGAAGAAGAAAGTCAGCCACTCAAGTGGGGTACAACAGAGGCAAGAGCAAGGTCTGGGGTCCCTAGATCATCAACAGGCACTAGACTGGCCATGGACATGTAGAAGTCTTGGTCTGGGGTCCCTAGATCATCAACAGGCACTAGACTGGCCTATAGACATGTAGAAGTCTTGGTCTGGGGTCCCTAGATCATCAACAGGCACTAGACTGGCCATGGACATGTAGAAGTCTTGGTCTGGGGTCTCTAGATCATCAACAGGCACTAGACTGGCCTATAGACATGTAGAAGTCTTGGTCTGGGGTCCCTAGATCATCAACAGGCACTAGACTGGCCTATGGACATGTAGAAGTCTTGGTCTGGGGTCCCTAGGTCATCAACAGGCGCTAGACTGGCCATGAACATGTAGAAGTCTTGGTCTTGTAGAAAGACCCATGGTCTGTGGTCCAATAGAGTGTTGACAACAGCAGTTACCTCCTGTATGACTGGGTCATCTTCTTCATTGGCCATACTAGGGACAGCCTGCCACACAGTCCTCAACTCGATCTGCAAAGACAGCAAGAGACCTGGGCAATCAGCAAGCCATTCAATCAACCTTTCTGATGTACCTAACCCTCCACAGGTGCAGGGAAGGGGAGCCCACGACATAACCTCCTTTCTGTGTCTGTGGTGGAGGCAGCCATGAGATGGGTTCAAAGACCAGCAAAGGGCACAAACAGGTAGACCCAAGCCAATACATGTCAACTGTACCTCTGGAGAAGACTTAACAAGCAGTTTTACAGGCTTCTTGCCCACTCAAAAAGAACTCCCAGCCAGGCCTGAGGAAGCTGGCAGTCTACAGCCAGAGTTGAAAACTGGAATCCTGAGGGTCCTGTGGTACTATGAAAGCCAGATGTCACATGACCCACAGACTTTCCAGGGCTCTCTCAGACAGCTGACTCCAGTGAACTGATTTTCTGTGCTTTGGTGTCAAGATGATCCTCTTTAAATATTTTTCTCTGGAGTTTATGTAGCAATAAGGCTCTAAGTGGCGTGACTGTCCCCATCTTACCAAAAAGAGAATGAATTCAGAGACAGGTTACAGGAGCTTACCCAAAGTCGCACCGCATCAACACAACAGCAGTTACCTCCTGTATGACTGGACTTGACAAATCTAGGCCTTGAGATTTGGGTGACAGTTGTGAACGGGGAGGTTCAGTGGAGGGTAGGCTCTCCAGCTGAGGGGCATGTTGGTGAGCTTATAGGATGGAAGAACAGAACCCTGACAACACAGAGAAGGGAGAGTTTGGGCAAGGAGAGGGAGAAGGATGCCTGCAGGCTTCCAGCTCTTCTGTACCCAAGGGTAGAGGAGCTCCTGGCTAAGAAGAGAGCTGAGCATCCACAGACTCCAGCTGTTCCCCCTCTGCTCCTGGGTAAAAGCATTCCAACTTTATCCATCTCACATATGAATGATTTAAGATGTAAACAAATACTAAGTGTGCCAGTGAATGACTGTGATCCCAGCACTTGGGAGGTAGAGAAAGGAGGACCCTTACTTCAAGGTCAACCTCAGCTATATAGGGAGTTGGTGGCAAGTCTGGATACCCAGTCTCAAAAGAACAAAGATGTAGCTGGGCATGGCAGGAGGACTTCTGTGAGTTCAAGGCCAGCCTGATCTATAAACCTAGGGCCATACAGTGAGACTCTGACTCTGTTCCCCAAAAAAAAGTTTAAACAAACAACAATAACAAAACCAAAAGATTTTTTTTTTTTGGTTTTTCAAGACAAGGTTTCTCTGTATTGTTTTGGAGGTTGTCCTGGAACTCACTCTGTAGAGCGGGCTGGCCTCGAACTCACAGAGATCCGCCTGCCTCTGCCTCCTGAGTGCTGGGATTAAAGGCGTGTGCCACCACCGCCCAGCCAAAACCCAAAGATTTAAAGGTGCCTTCAGTCCAGGGTTCAGTGCCAGCTAAGGCCCCATGCAACTCACTTGTTGCAGACACAGTTCACACTTGAACACCTGCCCCATCCTTGGCATCTCTCTTCTCACCAGCTAATCCTGTTAGGTCTGCCTTCAAAAGAGGCCAAAAACTGACTTTCTGGGCCACACCTCAATCTAGCCAGCTCAGCATCCTGGCTGGTTTCCTGGATCCTTCCTACCTCACAATCAACCCTCATGTGGTACCACTCTGAGAAACATCTCCAGTGTACCCCATCTTTTTCAGTCTTCACCCCTCCAATGAACCTCAACAGACCCCACTTTTCCTTACGCCCCATTCTCACCACTCTGTCTGACCCTTCCTTTCTCTTCCCAGTGCATCTGGGAGCCAAGCTAACTGTTCTACCTAATCAGGTTCCTTCTTGTGCTCTTTTCAGGGTTTTGTTCAAAGGTTACCTACTTCTAAAGTGGACTCTGTCCCTACTCTTCAAAGCTGGAAGAAAACATGCTCCCCAAACTCCTTTCCTTTCTCTGGCCTCCAGAGCACATTATCACCATGGGACAGCCAGCTGTACCTGTCCTTCCTACCATTAAACTGTAAGCTACACAGTCTACTTTATGTCTTGCTGTACTTCTACTCCCTAGAACTGGGCACCTGAAAATATGGACTGCAAGGATTCTGGGAGCTCCAGGATTCCTGGCAAAGGAAGAGCTGGGATGGGGGAAAGAAAGGGGCTGGTAGGAAATGGGCCACCACACACATCTGAACCATCTAAGCACAGTTCTAAGTCGCTGCCACTGTGCATCTGCAGTGTCACAGATGTGTCCAACAAGTACCTGCCCTTTAGGCAGCTGTTCTTGGTGGCCAACTGAGACAGGACTTCAGGGGGAATCAAGGAAACACAGCACATGCAAAAACAGGCTGTGGCCTAAGAGAGTACCCAGTTCTACTTATTTCATGGCTGAGATTCTGCCAGCCTTGGGAATCAGGCAGGATCAGGTGCCCTCTCTGCGGGATGACAGAGGCTCCTCCCTCTGGGTACCACACCTGACTGGGTTACCTGCAAAGGCCATCACCTCCTGTTAGCCTCCCAGCCAACAGGAGCCAATTCAGTGGTTTTTCAAAGGTTCAGCCTATGACTGACAATAATCTTTTCCCATCAATGATGCAGAAGACACATGGAATGCCAGAGCTGAAACAGTATTTCATGTAATATGATTGTTACATGCCATACAGTGATGTTTTCCATCTTTGCCTATGCAAAATAAAAATGCTGGTAGCAAGACCCCCAAGCCAAGTTTACATTGTTCACCAATAAATTTTTTGGTGGTGGTGTTTTTTGTTTTTCGAGACAAGAGTTTCTGTGTAACAGCCCTGGCTGTCCTGGAACTAGTCCTGAAGACTAGACTGGCCTCAAACTCCCGCCTCAGCCTCCTGAGTGCTGGGATTAAAGACATGTGCCACCAATGCCCAGCTTCCTAATAAGTCTTAATTTGCAATCTTCAAAGTCAACAATACAACAAGCCTCCTGAGTCAGCTGTGGTGGCCCAGGCCCGTGATACCAGCACACAGGAAGCTGAGGGGGGAAGATAAATTTAAGGCCACTCTAGGCTATTATATAGTAAGGCCTCACCTAAAAAAGAAAAAACAAAATAAAAAAAATAATAATAGACACAAAACAAATGAAAAAAGATACCAAAAAAAAGCTTCCTTAGAGCCATTCTTTCCTGTCTCCAATTCTCCAGAGACTGCTAGTCTTTGTGATAACTACTCACATTGCTGTCTTCTCCGTAAACCCAAACTCCCTTCCTTGGGTCTCTAAGCCCTTATATGATCTTGCCTGGTTCCACATAACCGTCTCCTCAGGTCCTAGTAATCTATCGCTGAGCCCACAACAGGCCAAGCCCCTAGCACCCTGAGGACCTTTGCACAAGAATCCCATGTCATGTTCAGTATGCTCATTTTTCTTAAATGTAAGCTCTGCCACTCCCTCCAGAACTAGACAGGTTTCCTGAAACCCACACTTGAATAGCTGCTTCCAACCCTTTCCACCATTAACCCAATTCCTTATTTCCTCAGTGGTCCTAACCTGGAACTTCTCTATCTGCTGCTCAGGTGTTGGTTGTCCTCTGTACTAGCAGACTTTAAACTCCACGAAGGCTTCTCTATGCTTCAGATTCCTCAACCATAAAGTGGACATAATAATTATACTTCATCGTTGTTATGGGGTCATTACTTTTAAAATTAAAAAAAAAAATCACAGTCCTTCTCCTAAACCCTAATGCTGCCTGGCACCAATATAGTACAAAAAATATTCAATCTTCTCGTTAGCTGTGAAAATCAAGATTTATAGTACCCAACTTATAAATGATCTGCCCAAGGGCACAGCCCCAGGGAACAGTATAATCAAGAAATTCTTCTAGATGTCAATGAGCCTTGAGTTTATTCTTAACCACTATGCTGCACACATCTTTGATAAAAGGCAGTATGGTATAGTGGGTAAGAGGTTGGACTCCCGTCCGAAACCTTACAGGTTCAAGTCCCACCTCTGCGCAATGTACCAGCTGATTAAAAACATGAATTGCATAACCTTTCCTATTTTCATCCCTAAACCGGCAATAAAAAAAAAAAAAAAGCACCGGCTTCAAAGGGAAAAGTGGAACATACATGAATGAATGACTGTTGCTACGTGGCAACATGTTTTCTTCAAATATAAGATGAAACGAAGACAGCCACAAATGAAAAGCAGGAGTGTGTCACCCATCTTACCCTCTTTAAACCTTGTCATAGGGAACCAGTATCCCCATTTCACAGAAAAGGGTAAGATCTTATCTTTTCGCTCCGAAAACCAACAACTCCCGGACGACCTGGTACAAGCACCGCCACCCCCCGGCACTGAAGGGCCCCAGGGTCTGAGTAGCAGTCGCCGACTCTGCTGAAGCACAGACCAATGAATGAGGCGCCCCGGACCCGGCAGGCCCAGGAAGAGTTGACCCGGTTCAGCTAAGACGCTGACCCCCGCCCATGCAGGCGGCCCTGACGTCCAACAGCTTCCTCCATGTCGCAGGCGCTCAGGCGCCCTTTCCCACACCTCCGAGAGCCGCCACGCCACCGGGCACCAGTGCCCTCGCAGGTGCGGCTCCGGAGCCAGGCCCGGGCGGGGCAGCGCGGCCGAGGCCTGAGTCAGCGAGGGCCCCACGGCCGTCGCCTCCCCGACGTCCAGCCATGCGGAGCGACCCGGACCCGGGAGAGCCGGGAAAGCGGGGCGGCTGTCCGTGCGCCCGCCCGGGTTCCGGGAGGCCGCGGCCCCCAGGCACGCAGCGGCGCGGGCCTCTCCGGCCTACTCGGCAGAGCGGCCCAGCCCTCCGCGCGAGTGCGACCGCGGCGGCCGGATCCCCGGGACTGCCGAGTCGGCACTCACCTTTCCGCCAGGGCCGCGCGCGAGCGGCGGCAACGGCCCAGGGACCAGCGGGTTGAGACGGTGGCGGCCGGGTCTTCTATTAGGCAGCGGCCATGTTGCTGCTGGAGAAACTCCGGCGGACACGTGGGGGGAGCGGGGCCGGCCCTCGCGCTTCCTCTTACCCACAATGCCCCGCCCCGGCGCGCGCGGGCCCGCCCCTTCAGCGAGCTACTCCTGGTGCAGAGAACACGAACCAACTGCAGGGGTCGCCGATGGGGCCGCAAAATGTAGCTCAGAGTCAAGGTAAAGAAAGAAAAAAATGTTTTGGCAGCGGTGGGATTCGAACCCACGCCCCCGAAGAGACTGGAGCCTTAATCCAGCGCCTTAGACCGCTCGGCCACGCTACCCAGTTGCTCAACTGGCCGTCTAGGAAGCTACTTAGTGTTCTTACACATGCATACATTTTCCTTATAATTTTTTGAGGATTGTATTTGTGTTTTATCTATTCCTGATAGAAATCGTCGTAAACAATATTATTAAAACGCCAACTATTAAAATAAAGTTATTTATTTCCAAGCTTGTTCCAAATAAGCTTTAAAGCAAAAAGCAGTTTAATTTGCGTTCTGAATCACATGGTTAACGCGTCCAGTTAAGCTACTCCGTCACCTACATAGCCCGAATTAGGTGTCCTGGCAGTAACTGTCACCCCAGCTCTGAGAGGCCAACCGTGACCCCACATCTGTACAGTTCTATCTGAAAAGTCACATGTTTAAAATTTTAATACACAAACAATATTAAAACGTTGCAGATAAAATATAATCTTTGTAATATTCAACATAATAATTCTTTAACCTTTGATTCGTTTTAGTTTCCTTGTAACCACCATTATCGGCTGACTATACATCCTTTCAGATCTTCTGCTGCAGTTTCTATGGATGTGTATCTCCATGGAAAAATAGTTTTGTTCATATTGTGTATGGGTTGGTATATAAATGTTTATTAACATACTAATGCAGCTGGCTAATTTTTTCACCGGGCTTTTTATTTTTCTTTTGTTCCTACCATAATTAAGTATCTATGTATGTTGATATACACATACAGGCTTTTACGTTTATTTTATTTATTTGTTTATGGGGAGCAGAATGTTGTGGTCAGAGGACTACTTACTGGAGTATATTCTCTCTTTCCACCATGTGGGGGCAGCTTAGATTGTCAGCCTTGCAGGCAAGTGTCTACCCGCTGAAACATTTCACCAGCCCCCAGATACCTTAAAAGACTGAAAAAGGCACTGTGAAAAAAGTCACCCATATTCCCACCACCTAGAATTAAACTCATTTCTGCATATACATTTGTACACACATTGTAGTTTTGAGTTAAGGCTCATTGGGTCCAGGCTGGCTTTGAACTTGATATCTAGCTAAAGATGCATTTGAACTCCTGAGTCTCCTGGTCCCAACTCCCAAATTCTGGGATTACAGGCCTACATCTGGCTAATTACTGGTGATATGGCATTATGGCATTTTGTTTCCAATTGTTTTCTTTCTTTCTTTTTTTCTTTCTTTTTGTTTTTTTGTTGTTGTTGTTGTTGTTTGTTTGTTTTGTTTTGTTTTGTTTTGAGACAGGGTTTTTCTGTATTGTTTTGGAGGCTGTCCTGGAACTCGCTCGGTAGACCAGGCTGGCCTGGAACTCACAGAGATCCGCCTGCCCCTGCCTCCCGAGTGCTGGGATTAAAGGCGTGCGTCACCAACGCCCGGCTTCCAATTGTTTTCTTGTGTATATAACTTTTATTAAAAGTTAATTTAAAAGGTCTGCTAGATGGCTCAGCGGGTAGGGGTGCTTGCCGATAAGTCTGAGAACCTGAGTCCAGTCCCTGGGACTCACAAGGTAGCAGAAGAGAATCAGTCACACAAGTTGTTCTCTGACACACATACTCATCCACACTACAAATAAATAAATTTAATGTAATACCTTTTTTTTTTTTTTTTTTTGGTTTTTCGAGACAGGGTTTCTCTGTGTAACAAACAGTCCTGGCTGTCCTGGAACTCACTCTGTAGACCAGGTTAGCCTCAAACTCAGATCAAAGGTCCACCTGCCCCCCCCCCACCTCCCGAGTAGAGCTATCCTAAAATATGGACTGGGCATAATGGTACCTGCACTCAGGAGGCAAATGCAGGAGTATTCAACAGCTTTGAGGCCAGCCTGGTCTACATGATGACAGAGTGTGTTTCAGGACAGCCTGGACTACATAGGGATACTCTGTCTCAAAAAAAAAAAAAAAAAAAAAGAACAAAATATTAAAAAATATACTGGACTATGACAAGTTAAAAAGACTACATTTCAAAAGTCCCCTTAGCCAAGTGGTGGCAGATCATGCCTTTAATCCCAGCAATTGGGAGGCAGAGGCAGGCAGGTCTCTGTGAGTTTGAGGCCAGCGTGGTCTACAGATCAAATTCCAGGACAGCCAGAGCTGTTACACCGGGTGTCCTCTCACAAACATCCTCCCAGTTTATAACTAATATGAATTCGATACGTGTGCTTCCAATAACTTCTCAAACGTTTACATATGTAAATCTGTGAGCAATATACAGATTTTCTGTGTTATCACAGGGTACCAACGCCAGCCATGCCTTTTTCACTCATTATTATGTTTTTGAGATCATTATGCTCACTCCATACTTTAAACAAACAATATTTGTTTCTAAATTTTCTGGGCAGAATTGTGGGAAGTATTCCTGTCCCAGGCTTCTAGTCTATACATGGACATTCCTTCATGTTTTCTTCCAGAATTGAAATTACTTTTTTTTTTTTTTTTTTTTTTTTTTTGGTTTTTCAAGACAGGGTTTCCCTGTGGCTTTGGAGGCTGTCCTGGAACTCGCTCGGTAGACCAGGCTGGTCTCGAACTCACAGTGATCCGCCTGCCTCTGCCTCCCGAGTGCTGGGATTAAAGGCGTGCGCCACCAACGCCCGGCTTGAAATTACTACTCTTATGGACATTTTCTTTTCTTGGTTGGAGGAGGGTGAAGGAGTTGAAATAGGGTCTCTCTAAGTAACTCTGGCCGAACTGGAACTCTCTGTAGACCAGGTTGTCCTCAAACTCACAGAGTTCCGCCTGCCTCTGTCTCTCAAGTGCTGGGATCACAAGCGTGTGCCATCACAGCTGGCAGGTTATTAATTCTTACTGAGTCAATTTGGGTATGTTGGCGTTTGGGAAAAAAACAAAGCCTTTCGCTTGGCTTTTCACAATTGTTAGGGGAAAATCTGGAATCTCCCTCACATTCGCTCTTCCTTTCGTTATTCTCTCTAGCATGCGTCTTTCCCTCTTTTGTTTACCTCTCCCTTCGTTCAGTAGTAACTTAGCTCGATGCAATGACTCCAGACCGTCGTGCTTAGCCCTATTCGCGGAGGTAATCCTACAGTAACTCCACTCCACATTCTAGACATGCCCCCAGAAAGCCACACAGACCGCATTTGGGGTTGGCACAATCCTAACATGTGGGCATGTCATAGTTTTCTTTCCCCAAATCCTCTTTAGCCTGCTGGGGGTTTTGTTTTATTTTGTTTTTCTTTCCACCTTTAACAGCTGTACAAAGATTTCATGGTTCTGGGAGAGTTTGTTGCTTTTAAAAATAAAGCAACCATCTATTGAGGAAATGGGTCTGGCGTGGCAGGAGTCCAGGGCTGAGTGGAGACTAGTCCTGAGATCAACAGATTCCTCCAACTGCTCAGGGTATTTATTTCATTGACAGGAAGGACTATTTGTGAACTGTATACCTGACTTTCAGAATGGAAATGTGTCCCTAGTATAAGATGCCTGTGTCAATATGTGTCCAGGCCTGTCTCGAACCCTACTATCCCCCCATACCCACACACACAAAAGGTGTGCTCTTCGGCCTCAAGGTCTGGATTAAAGCCATGTGTCATCCAGCCTCCTCCATTAAGACCACACTTCCTCCAATAAGAAACCCTGTTTTTTGGAGACAGGGTTTCTCTGTATTGCTTTGGAGTCTGTCCTGGAACTCACTCTGTAGACCAGGCTGGCCTCAAACTCACAGAGATCCGCCTGCCTCTGCCTCCCGAGTGCTGGGATTAAAGGCGTGCGCCACCAACGCCCAGCAAAGTTCAAGTTTTTAAAAACCAAAAATCCATGATCCAAATGATCACACCAGACACCTGTAAAGCCCTACATAAGAACACCAAATCCATGCAATCTTCTCAGAAGCTGAGGACAACTCTGAGGGGCCATGAGTGGTGTTTTATAGATAAGCAAATCAAAAGCATTCACGTATTTTATCTAAAGAAAACTAACAGCATGAGTGTCAAGTCCAGGAGGCTTGCTTTATTAATTACAAAATCTTAAAAATCAGGAGATGTCACATTAAGAAGTTTTCCCACTGTGTATGAAAAGTCGCATGGAGCTACGTTGGCCCCACACTCCAGGTGATGCAACTCATGTCGAGGGTGGAGTACTTACTGCTGCCCTTCTATCAGTAACCCCGAGACGCTTCAAGTTTTCACAGGGAGGGAGGATTTGAGAGGGAGTGTGAGTTTGAGACAGTAGAGGAAAAACAAATATTGGTAAAGGTGAGCTGGCACCTGAAATATACACAAAACTGCATCTGTAACTCCAGCCAGTGGCCTTCAGGAGGTCAGAGATGAAATGTAAGGAGGCGCTGCAAATCCAAGCAGAGAATGGTGAATCTATCCCTTCCCTGCTTCACATCTACCTCACGCTGCACACACCCGTGTAAACATTTGTGAAACTGCAAACCACACTTAGTGACTCCGACGAAGGTGCTGGGATGAGAGACAGCAAGGATGGAAGGGAAAATAGCTCAGAAAGTGCAGAAGGATGAGAATGTTCTTACATCCATCAAGCCCATATTACATATGATCTACAGTGTGGGGGCCCAAACCCGGGACCTTGACTCCATGCTCCACACATACTCATCCCTAACCCTATTTTAAAGTCTCTGTCACCCGTAGCAAACAGAACAGACCATCACATTACAGTTAAATGCTTTTATTCCCAGGATCGCTTGGAAAACAGCAGCTCTCCGGCCCCCAGCTCCAGCTCAGACTCTAGCTAGCAGCCCCACTGGAACCAACTCTTCCTGAAGTCTTTGTTTCTGCCTTTGAGTTGAAGGTACATCATGATCAGCTCTTCCTGAAGTCTTTGTTTCTGCCTTTGAGTTGAAGGTACATCATGATCAGCTCTGCTAATCTAGGCTTTTACCTGCTTTGCACTGGAAGACAGAATTGATTATAAGTGCCAGGCATTGGTGGTGCTCACCCCCTCACCCCCCACACAAGCTGGGTCCAGCACACTGAGAGAAAGATGCCCTGACCAGCTTTTGAAGGCAATACTGGGGTTGGAAGAAATAACCATTTCTGCAGGGAAGCCTCAGTATCGCTCAAGTTGCTTTATTTTTTATTTTTATTTTTTTGGTTTTACGAGACAGGGTTTCTCTGTATTGTTTTGGAGGCCGTCGGTCCAGCCTGGCCTCGAACTCACAGAGATCCGCCTGCCTCTGCCTCCTGAGTGCTGGGATTAAAGGCGTGCGCCACCACCGCCCGGCGACAGTGCTGCTTCTTACACCTAACATGAACACTAGTTGAAGACACCCACAGGACAGTGCCAGTCAACTACTGTCTGGTATTCACAAGAACCTGACAAGTACCAACCTCTCAAAGAAAACCAGTTGTGATGGCATCAAACACAAACCCCAGGGCTTTGCAACTTGTAGTGGAGGAAAGCAGTCGTTGAGGATAATTTTTGCTTCTTTTACACTTGTGTGTATGTACACGCACCTGTTTGTGGGCTCACCTGTACCACACCACACAGGTGAAGAGCAGAGGACAACTTGCAGATGTTGGTTCCCTCCCTCCACATCTGGGTGCCAGACCTGGCCTTGGGTTGTTAGGCTAGGCAGGAACCTATACCCATGGAGCTATCTTAGCATCTAACCAGCTCTTTTGTGTTCTGGTTTGTTTAGTTTTTCCAGTCAAGGTCTCACTATATAGTTCAGGCTGATCTCAAACTTGGATTCCCTCTGCCTCTACCACTTGTATGCTGGGATTACAGATGTGCACCATTGCTCCCAACTCTCCAGGATCTAGTGCTTCAAACAAGTTCCTGACTGGGCAGACTCAACAGGGAATCAACAGGGAAATCCTAAAAAGGCCTGGGCTGTTTTGTTATTGTTGTTTTGTTTTGTTTTGGCTTTTTGTGTGTGTGTATGTGGGGGGTTTTGTTGTTGTTGTCGTTTTTGAGACAGAGTTTCTCTGTGTAGCCCTGGCTATCCCAGAACTCATTTTGTAGATCAGGCTGGGCTCGAACTCAAGAGATCCACCTGCCTCTGACTACTCCCAAATGCTGGAATCAAAGGCATTCGCCTCTACCAATTAGGCTAAAAAGGCCTGTTTTAACAAACAGGTAAGAATAGCCTGTATGTTGTACTCTGCTTTTCTCTGTTTTGTTTTTGTTTTTGTTTTTTTAAACAAAGATAGAGGCTGCTCTAACATCTGTGGTAGATCAAAGAAGGCCCTTTCCTTGGCTATTTGGGACTGCAACTGAAATCACACTCACATTAAATCTTAACTCCTTTTTAAAGAAAAATCTCATTAAGTTCCAGCTTGGCCCTGGGGAAATGCCCAGAACCAACCAGTGTTTACACCCTTGTCCTATTCACACACATCGTAGACAAATCCCAAGGGGCTGCAGCTGAAAACCACTTGCTTCAGATGACCAGAAAAATCCAGATTCCAGCAGAAATCACCATGGATAGCAGGCTGAGGGCAGAGTTTATAAAACGTTACCACATCAAGGAATGACAGTGGAATTCTGCACAGGGATGCTTCAGCCCCGTTGTGGATGTGGTCATGGAGGCGCAGAGGCACTTCTGCTCGGAGGAAAGTTGCCCAGCTCCTGAATCATGACCCTTCCTGTGAAAGCTTTGAGATCCATCTGCTTCCACATCCACCGATGCAGGACTCAGAGGTAGCGAATGTGTGTGGACAAAAACCAAACCTGTCTTGTAAAGTCTACAGTAGGAAGCATGCTTTCAAAATGGAATTTGGCTGGATGGCAAGAAATCAGGTGCGCAGTGGAAGGACATTAAATGAAAAAACTTATACAATAATCTCCTTGTGGTATGAAGGAAGCTGATATTGAATGAGCTCACATCTGCTGGGGGAAAAATGTCACACACACTTAAAGAAAGACCCATGGAAAGTTAATAGGAAGCTCTCCATTCTTCATTCCATTGGGACTCCTAACTCAGGGCCTAGAGACCCCGAGATGAATCCAGACTGCAAAGGCTAATGCGCTCAGCCCTGATACTGTCTATTCATTCAGACAGAAAGACGCTTTCTTACATCTCATGACAAAAAACAATAATAAAAGAAAGAAAAAGAAAAGTGGAACTTCAAAAGAAAAAGTGGTGATTCATTAGGCTGCATATTCAACTCCTATCCACCCCACTCCATCCCCAAAATACCACCCTAAAGGGCAGTTACAGTGTCTCTGCCTGTTGCAAAGATTTTTTTCAAGAGTCAAAAATAATGTAATACAAAAGTGAATTTATAGCATAGCAAAACTTCTGAAAGAAATCAGTCCTGTCCTCCCCAGCCCTTTTGCTTGGGACCAGCTGGGGGAGTTATTCCTCCATCTGGGCCCAGGCTTCTTCTGCCTTTTCATAGTACTGGTTGGCTAGCCGGCCCTTCATGGCTTCCATCGCTGCTTCGGCTGCCTGGGTGTACAAGTCTCCTGAAAGAGAGCCAAGTGGGATACAAAGAAGTGAGCCACTTGTCAAGCTAGCAAGTTTCATCTCACCCAAAAGAGCATCTGAGGTTTCTATAGCAACCCAACCTGTATGGTATGATCCAAGTCTTTGGGGATACATATGTTCAAACCTGGCCATCAGAGCACTCTTCTTTTTTTTTTTTTTTTTTTTTTTTTTTTTAAGATTTATTTATTTATTTATTATGTACACAGTTTTCTGTCTGCATGTATGTCTGCAGGCCAGAAGAGGGCACTAGATCTCATTACAGATGGTTGTGAGCCACCATGTGGTTGCTGGGAATTGAACTCAGGACCTCTGGAAGAGCAGCCAGTGCTCTTAACCTTTGAGCCATCTCTCCAGCCCCCTTTTTTTTTTTTTTTTTTTTTTTTTTTGGTTTTTTTTTTTTTTCGAGACAGGGTTTCTCTGTATTGTTTTGGAGGCTGTCCTGGAACTTGCTCTGTAGACCAGGCTGGCCTCGAACTCACAGAGATCCGCCTGCCTCTGCCTCCCGAGTGCTGGGATTAAAGGCGTGTGCCACCAACGCCCGGCTCATCAGAGCACTCTTCTAATCTCTGGTATTGCTGTGTAAAGATGCAACTCTAGGTTTTCTATTGGCTCAACAGTACTTTATTGACAAATGCACAGGACTTCCCCCAACAGCTGTGGAACTCAAGAGCTTGTATACCAGGCAAGACTTCTACCACTGAGCCACACCCCCAACCTGAAATCCAAGGCAACCAGTCTATATGACAGCTCAAAACTGAAAAGAAGGATCTCATGTTGGGGGCTAGAGAGATGGCTCAAAGCGTGCTTGCTTTTTGGGCTGGATAGCTCAGAGGTTAAGAGCACTGGCTGTTCTTCCATAGATCCTGAGTTCAATTCCCAGCAACCATATGGTGGCTCACAACCATCTGTAATGAGATCTGTGCCCTCTTCTGACCTGCAGGAATACATGCAGGCAAATGCTGTATACATAATAAATAAATCTTTTTTAAAAAGTAAAAACAAAAATGCAAAAAAAAAAAAAGATTGGCCTGTTCAGGACTCAGTTTACAAGTAGAACCACACATTATATGGATTTTCCTGTCTGGTTTCCTTTATTTAGAGTAGAATATATCTCAGCTTGTACTGTGATTGAAGGAAGGCATGCACTGCCTTACCTGACCCATTCGTTTTATAAAAGAAATTAAAAATTTTTGTTTTGTTTTTTCAAGACATATCACTCTGTAGCCAGGCTGGCCTCGAATTCACAGAGATTCACCTGTCTTTGCCTCCTGAGTGCTGGGATTAAGGTGTGCACCACTGTGCCCAGTGAAGAGAAAATACTTTTATCATCTATGCATGTGTGCATGTGGAAGTCAGAGGACAACCTTTGGGGATTGGTTCTCTTGTTCCATGATGTCAATCCTAGGGATTGAATTCATGTCATCAGGCTGTGACAGCAAGTATCTTTACACACTGAGCCTCTTCATTGCTTTTAGTACTAAATAATATGCCACTCGGTTAATATATTTATCTATTGTAATCTGATGGATGTGTTGGAGTTCTTAAAACTTTTAAAATTTTGCTATTTTTATGTGTGTGTACATAGCTGTGGAGGCCAGAAGAGGGTGTTGGATCTTAGAACTGGAGTTACAGGCTGTCCAATGTAGATACTGGGAACTGAGCTAAGGTACTCTTGAAGAGATGTATATAATAGTGTTATACTTTCATGGAGGCCTGGAGGCCTGCAGGCCAGAAGAGGGCACCAGATCTCATTACAGATGGTTGTGAGCTACCATGTAGTTGCTGGGAATCAGGACCTCTGGAAGAGCAGAGAGTGCTCTTAACCTCTGAGCCATCTCTCCAGCCCCCAGGCTAATCCTTAAAGACAGGGTAGATTCATGGTTATTGGGAAGGGGCAGGATGCTGGAAGCAACTGTTAAGTAGCACAGGGTTTCTTTTAGGGTGGGCAAATGTTTAAAGTGAAATAATAGTGAAGGAAGATAAAATGTTATGAAATTCTCAGCTTCATTTTTCAAATCGCAAAACCTGCCCATAAATGCTAATAGGTCCCTTGTGGGGAGTTGGTTCCAGGATCCACCAACAATAGCAAAATCTGCTCAAGTCCCCTGGGTGAGAGAGTGTCATATTTATATATGGCCTATGCATTTTCTCCCATTTACTGCAATCATCTCTAGACTACTTGGAATGACAAACAAACTCAGTGCAGGTGCCATGTATGGTGATGTGCTGTGTTGTTCAGGGAATGTTGTGGTCTGGATGTGAAGTGTCCCCATAAGCTCATGTGTTTGAGCATGTGGTCATCTGCTGGTGATGCTGTTTGGGAAGGGTAAAGAATCTTTAGGAGGTAGAGACTTACAAGAGGAAGTAAGTCAGTTTTGAGGTTTTATTGGTTCCTGTGTGTGGTAGTTTGAATAAAAATGGTCCCCAAAGGCCCATAGAGAGTGGCACTATCAGGTGTGGTCTTCTTGGAGTACCTGTGGCCTTGCTGGAGGAAGTGTGTCACTGAGAGTGGACTGTGAGGTCTCAAATGCTCTGACCAGGCATTCTCTTCCTGCTGCCTTCAGATCCAGATCCAGAACTCAGCTACCTCTCCAACACCACATCTGCCTGTGTGCTGCCGTTATCCTGCCATGATGATAATGGACTAAACCTCCAAACTGTAAGTCAGCCCCAATTACATGTTTTTCTTTATAAGAGTTGCCTCGGTTATGGTGTCTTCACAGCAATAGAAACACTAAGACACTGTGTGTGTGGTGAAGTCTGGTCGTCTTGCTTCCTGACTGCTGGGAGACCTCCAAGCCAAAATCTCTGCTGGATGTGTACCCAAAATAAATTCTTCTTTAAGTTGTTTTTTGTTGGGGTACTCTTATCACAGCAACAGAAAAGTAAGAAACATGGAGAAACCTAGCAAGCAAAATCTATGTATACTCAGTTACAGATGCAAATATTTTTCCTTTTTTGAGACAGGATCTATGTAGCCCAGACTGGCCTGAAACTTGGAATCTTCCCTCATCAGCCTGCTCAGTGCTGGGGTTACAGGTGTGCGCCATCACAGGTACATGGGGGGGGGGGGGCTGATGAGACAGCTCAGCAGGGAACAGCACTTGCTGCCAAGCCTCATGACTGCGTCCCACACGGTAGAAGAAAGAACTGACTCCCACAGGTTGGTCCTCTGGTTTTCACACACGTGCTATGCTGTGTACATGCATTCCCAAACACACGAAATATGAAAAGATAGCAAATCTCTTTGTCTATGGATGCAAAACTTGTGAACTGGGAAGACTGGCTATATTCTTTTTTTTTTTTTTTTTTTGTTTGTTTTTTTTTTGTTTTTTTCGAGACAGGGTTTCTCTGTGGCTTTGGAGGCTGTCCTGGAACTCCCTTGGTAGTCCAGGCTGGTCTCGAACTCACAGAGATCCGCCTGCCTCTGCCTCCCGAGTGCTGGGATTAAAGGCATGCGCCACCAACGCCCGGCGACTGGCTATATTCTTATTTAATTTATATACATATGTTTTGATGCTTTCTTCTGTCTCTCCACGCCCTTATTTTTTTTTAAAGTATCAGGGAGGTGCATGTGCCATGGCGTAGCTGTGGAGGTCAGAGGGCAACTCTGTGGAGTCAGTTCTCTCTTTCTGCATGGGTTCTGTTGATCATACTTAGGTTATCAGGGTGACCTCAGAATCCCTTTCTTTGTTATACCCTTTTTTTTTGTTATACCCTTATTTTTTGAGGCAGGATCTCTTCCATTGAACCTAGATCTTGCTATTTCAGCTGGATTGGCTGACCTGTGAGCTCTCATAGGCTCCACTAGTCTTTGTCATCACAAGGTTGAATATGAATATCATATCCTGCTTTTAAAAGTAAATACATAAGTAATTAAAAAGGAAAAAAAAATAATATAAAATAAAAATAAAAATGTGTGGGACTGGAAAATAGTTCAGGGGTTAACAGTAGAGGACCAGAGTCCAGTTCCCAGCACTTCTGCCTGCATCTCTACAAGCCAGAAGAGGGCACCAGATCTCATTACAGGTGGTTGTGAGGCATCAAGTAGTTACTGGGAATTGAACTCAGAACCTCTGATAAAATGTTCATCTCCATACCAGCTCCATAAAGACCCCTACTATGGGAAAGGACTCATCTGGGAACCCATCCTAATCCCATGGAGATGAGAACTATAGATCTTCACCAGCCCTGTCCTACTCCAGGGAAGATCTGTGGGCCTCACCTGATCTTTGGGGGTCCTTGTCCAGCCCAAATCCTCCAGTGGACAGCATCTCAGCCTGCCTGGCCAGCAGTGCATACTGGGGCTCGTCCTGTACTCCATCGTACTCTCCACCTTCGTCACAATCGGTTGTCTTCAGGGCTGTGTCGTACCAGTGTAAGGCCTCTGGCCAGTCTTGGCACCTTGCCAGGAGACATGGAGGTGAGAGGATGTTACTGTGGCAACAGGGTGGGAAGACAGAGGATCGCTGATCTGGAGGGACAAGCCGGGACCCCGGTGGGACTGCCACCTCTGGTCCACAAACTATAGTACCAAGGGCCACCACATCTAAGAGATACCTTCATATTGTAGACTTGCTTTTTTCTTTCTTTCTTTTTTTTTTGGTTTTTCAAGACAGGGTTTCTTTGTGGCTTTGGAGGCTGTCCTGGAACTCACTCTGTAGACCAAGTTGGTCTCGAACTCAGAGATCCACCTGCCTCTGCCTCCAGAGTGCTGGGATTAAAGGCTTGTGCTACCTACCACTGCCCGGCCATATTGTAGACTTTCTATGTTTGTGTTTTATTTTTGAATTTATGTGTCCCTGAGTGTGTATGTTACACGTGTACATATGTACATGGAGGCCAAAAGGAGTAAGGGGATCCTATGGATCTGGGGTTACAAGTGATTATGAACTTCCTGTTGTGGGTGTTGGGAACCAAACAAGTGCTCTTAACTTCTGAGTGAGGTTAAATATATATATATATTCTTTTCTACCCACCCCCAAGACAGGGTTTCTCTGGGTAGCCCTGGCTGTGCTGGAACTTGCTCTGTGGACCAGGCTGGCCTCACCACCTGCCTCTGTCTCCTGAATGCTGGGATTAAAGGCATGCACCACCACCACCCAGGCTCAGTTTCTATAAGGGATCTTTCCTTAACAAAGTTGGTATAGTATGACAACTATTTCACCAATGGCAGACTGCCTTGGCGAAGGGTGACATTTATCTAGGACTGTGCCTAAGCATCCTGTTGGCTAGCTAGACATTGCAGGACCTGTGTCCTTGCTATGCTGCCCTTTACCTGAGTTGCAGAAAGAGTGGTAGGTGAGGGAGTCTGCAGAGCCTCTAGAGCTGGGGTTCTCATCCTTCCCAATGCTGAGACAGACTCTTTAATACAATTCCTCATGCTGCCGTGACCCTTAGCCATAAAATTACTTTTGTCGCTACTTTATAACTGTAATTTTGTCACTGTTGGGAATCATAATATAAATATCTGATATGCAGGATATCTGACATGTGACCCCTGTGAAAGGGTCATTCAACCACAGAGGGGTCGTGACCCATGAGCTGAGAATAACTGCTCTAGAACCATCAGAACTAACAGCAATAAACCAGACCCCCTATTTCTTTATTTGGTAACAAGGTCTACATAGGCTGACTCAAACTCATGCTTCTTCCTCAGCCTCCCAAGGTCTAGGACTATAGGCATCTACCACCACTATCACCCGTCTAAGGCTCTGCCTATGCTGGACAGCCCTGTTCTCCAGTGCACATGGAGACTGTCTCACAGCCCAGTCACTGGACCTCCAGCTCCTTCACCTACAGTAAGACACATAAGCCAAATCGCTAAGGCGTATTTAGGTCCCAGCCAAAGCTTCACAACACAAACCACAGAGCTAACACGGCAGCTGGTGGCTTCTCTCCGGTGTCACCCATCTGAGGAATTATTTACAGTATACTGCTAAAGAGCAGAGAGGAAGTCCGACAAAAGAGCTAGAACAGCAGCTCTTGGTGACTTCAGTCCTGACTACCTGGTCAGTCACCCTCCACTCCATGCCAGTTTAACTCTTTCCATGTCAGATCTGTAAACTCCCCAAGCCAGCACCTGCCTGCCCGTGGACCATTGCTGTCCCAGTCAGTGCTAGGACATCTTTCCCCTAGCTGTGTCCAAACCTGACTCTGCATCCCAGTCTCAGCTAAGTTACGGCTCCTAAGATGTAGTCTGCAAACACTGTTTCCTATAACAAAGACTAGTCATTATCAGTTCCTTGTCTTTCTGGGTTTTGTAGCCTTATTTCACCAGAAGGTAAGTCTTAGGAAGTAAAGAGCCTGTGCTGTTTACTGCCGTGTTCCCAGGGCCTAGCCAGGAACAAAGACTCAACAAATGTGCGATAAATAAGTGTAAGCAATTCAGCTGGCAAATATGATGTCCAGGAGCTAGCCGTGACTCTAGTTAATCTTACACATAAAGTTCAAGGGGGCTGGGTTTGGTGGCACATACCTCTACTTTCAGCACTTGGGAGGCAGAGGCAGGCAGATTCCCGTAAATTCAATTCAAGTCCAGTCTAGTCTACATAGAGTTCCAGTCAGAGCTATGTAGTAGTGAGACCGCATCTCACAAAAGCAAAACCAAAACCAAAAAGCCTGAGGGCTCACTTGATAGGATGCTCTCCTAACACACACAGCCCTGGGTTTGACTCCAAACAACCACATGAACTGTGTATAGCAGTGCATACTTATAATCCTAGCAATCAGAACATGGGGACAGGATAAACAGAAGCTCATCCTTGGTCACTATGAGGCCAGCCTGAGCTACACAAGACCCTGACTCAAAACAAAGCAAAACACTGAAATCACTTGAAAGTTAAGGTAAGTATGTCCCAAAACAGATTTCTACAATATAACCACTAACCAAGATGACTTCACTCCGTTCAGCTCTGATCTTCCCGGGTTCTAGAGAACAAAGTAGATTTGTCCTGGAAATATGAATTTCAAAAGGGCCTTAAACTCCTCCCGACTTCCTTCACCCCAGATCCATATTCACATAAGAGACAAGAGTACCCATCCTGCTCTGGAATCTTCCATGACTTTTATTCCCTTCTTGGATGTAATTTCTGAAAGGGCCAAAACCCCTTCAATACAAACTTAGGAACTATGGGGGCCCTGAATGGAAGAGGCTGGAGCTGCTTGGAATGAGGAAGAGAAGTAAAAATGATTACAGCAGAAGCAAGAAAAGAAGATTCTGGTAAATTTAACCACATAATATTAAAACCCACAGTGTCCCCAAACCCAGTAAACAAGGGTGGTTGAGTAGCATGTGTGGCCTCTCTCCAATCTATAGAAGCCATTTCTCCCTCTCCCCCTTCCTCTCCCCCTCCCTCCTTCTTTCCCTCCCTCTTGCTGTCTCTTTCCACCTGGTATTCTCAGATGGTCCTCCATCCAATCAGGCCTGAACCTGCAAGCACATTTAGGATGATATTGTTGTACATGCCATTTCTCTTTTAGTGAAAAATATGTCAAAGGGTTAGTTGGCTTAATATATAAAGAGTTCTAACAAATCAACATGACTTCAAGTGAAGTTAAAAGTAAAAATAAATGTTGGACAGTGGTGGCTCATTCCTTTAATCCCAGCACTTGGGAGGCAGAGGCAGGTGGAGCTCTGTGGGTTCCAGGCTAGCCTGGTCTACAGAGCCAGTTCCAGGACAGTCAGAGCTGTTACACAGAGAAATGTCTGGGGGCAGGGGGAATTAAAGATAAATATTAAGTTTCAAAACTAGGACAGAGCTTGATGAGAAAAAGTCACAGACCTTGGTTTTTTTTTTTTTGGAACCCAGTGAAGGAGAAGTCTGTGTCTGTGTGTGTGCGTGCATTTGTGGGCTCTCATGCATGCATGTGCTCATATGTTCATGGACCTGTGCATGGGGGTGAAGAAAGCCAGATGACAAATGAATGTCACTTCTTGGGTGCCATCCACCTTGGTTTGTGTTTTCTTCTTCTTGAGACAGGGTCTCTCACTGACCTGAAACTTGCCAACAACCTCAGGGGTCCACCAATTTCAGCTTTTTCTAAATGAGTTCTGGGAACCAAATTCAAGTCTTCATGTGTCAGGCAAATGATTTACTGACTGAGCTCCCAATCATAGCAGATGAATTCTTACCACTAAAGAGAAGGTGCCTGCTCAGGAATTCAAGAACATATTTTTTTCTTGTTTTTTTGTTTGTTTGTTTGTTTTTTGTTTTTTGAGTCAGAGTTTCTCTGTGTAGTCCTGGCTGCCCTGGAACTAGCTCTGTAGACTAGGCTGAGGTCCTAGGTTAAATCTTCAAAACTACATCATAAGAATAACAAAACAAAGAGTAGGAAAAGGCAGTCAAAATCACCAAAATTCTATTTTTTATGGATAATCATACTGAACTGCAGACCTTTCTGGTTATCCCCCCCACATATGCTGGCAAAATGGCTGCCATCATTTCGTGCTTATGTGTGAGGCGTTGTGGGAAAGGTATTTTTCTTTTTTTTATTATTTTAATTGTAAATAGCTTGTTTTGCTATTTAATCCCAGTACCTTCTCCCTCCCCTCCTCCTGCACCCTCCCCCCACCATCTCCCCCCCTAGCCTCCCACCCTATTGCCATTTCCTTCCACATAGGGGATATCTAGAGTCTGTCATTTCACTCAGGGCAGGGTCCAGGCACTCCCCTAAGAGTCCAGGCTGAGAGAGCATCCCTCTTTGTGTCATGGACACACGATGTCTGTTTGTATGCCCAGGCCTCCTCACTGACTCTCACATTCAGGGGGTCTGGATCGGTCCCATGCTGGCCTCACAGCTGTCGGTCTGGGGTCCAAGAGCTCTCCCCTGTTTGGATCAGCTGTCTCTGCTGGTTTTGCCAGACCATTCTTTGCCAATTTGCTCATCACTCCTCTCTCTCTGTTGCTGGGTTCCTTGGGTTTAGTTCAGTGTTTAACTGTGGGTGTTTGCCTCTGCTTCCATCAGTCACTGGATGAAGGCTCCAGGATGGTTATAGACATCAAGTTCATTATCAGGAATGAGCATTCGAGGTGGTGTCTCCACTATTGCTTAGCTTGCCAGTTGGTGTCATCCCTTTAGATCACTAGAGGTCACACTGGTACCTGATCTGTCTTCTAACCTATGATTCCCTCGTCCCCCTATTCTATTCCCCACTCAACCTTTCTGTTCCCCCATGACCTACTCTCTCTTCCTCTTCTCCCCCTCTCTTCTTCCCAGGTCCCACTCCCCCCACCCCTCACTGTGTTCCCCATCTGTTCAGAAGATCTTGCCTCATTCCTCTTCTCTGGGGTACCAAGCATATCTCTTAGATTCTTTCCTGTTTCCCAGACTCTCTGTCAGTGGAAGTGCAGACTGGCACTCTCCTGTCTATCTTCTTGGGCACAGCATTAGAGACAGATACTATCATCATTCCTGCTTGACCAAATGAAGAAACTGAGACCAGGGAAGCAAAGGACCTTGCTGAAAGTCACTGAACTGGTAACAAGCAGAGCCAAGGCTAGAGCCCACATCTATCCTGAACCAAAGAAAAAGCAACCTGCATGGCCCAGGCTACCCCAACATCAACCAGGTGACAGCCATAGTACCTGTCTGGGCTGAGGTTCAGGCCGGAGTCAAAAGCTCGGGCCACTAGGATCATGGACTGCCTGTCACCAGCTTCCGCCGCCTTCAGTAAGTAATCAAAGCCCTTTGTCTTGTTCTCGTTTGTCTCCTGTCAAAGAGAAAGGGCACAGACAGCAAATGAGTGTCTGAGGGAGAGTGCAAGGGTTCCCTCATCAACCTCCAGTTTAAGTTGTGAGAGCTCTGGGCTGGAAGTTTAAGCCCATGGCTTTTCATGTATCAATGGACTTGTTCAGCGATTCCCACCATGGATTTAAGAAACTAAATTTTTGACAGGCATTGTGGCACACACCTTTTTTGATTCTAGCACTCAAGAGGCAGATGTAGGAGATCTTTGAGTTTGAGGCCAGTTTGGTGTACAGAGTGAATTCCAGTACACCTAGGATTACACAGAGAAACCCAGTCTCAAAAAAAAACAAACAAACAAAAAACCCCCTAAATTTGTAATTATGTTCACTTATTTACTTATTTATTTATTTAGTGTGTGTGTGTTAGGTCAGAAGACAACTTGTGGGAGTTGGTTCTTTCTTTCTACCATGTGGGACTTGGGGATTATACTCAAGTTGTCAGGCTTTGTGGCAAGGTGCCTTTACCAACTGATCCATGTTGCTGGCCCAATTTCAAAATATCTTAACTAATCCAAAAAGAAACCATAACCCACAAATCACAAATTTTCCCTATACCTTTATCTCTCCACCATACCCATTCACTTTCTGTCTCTGTGAACTCTGGAAGTGTCACGTATATGGAATAGAATGACAGCTGGGCACTCAGAAAGCAGACAGGTAGCTCTCTGTGAGTTCAAGGCCAGCCTGGTCTACATAGTGAGTTCCAGGACAGCCAGAGCTACATAGTCAGGCCGTGTCTCAAAAAACAAACAAACCAATAGATCCTCCAGCAGGTGAGCACCGGGATGGGGGCAGTAAATGATGGACTGGCTGAGCCCTCCACTTTAGGTTGGGTTTACACATCCCCTCACCTTCAGAGAGACATCAGCCAGGATGTGGTGGGGCAGCTGAGAGTACATAAGTCCCAGGCCCACGATGGCCTCCAGTTCTCCCAGGTAGGCTGCATGCTCCAGATGGAAGATGGCTGACTCTCGGTCCCATTCCTCATCCTTCTTGCAGAAGCGCCCGCCCTCGTGGTACCGTACCATGGCCAGATGGACCTGCCACACAGACTGCAGCATTGGTCTGGATGCCTGGGAGGTCAAAGCCTTGCCCAAGGGCAGTCCAGCCAGCCTGCAAGAAGAAGCAATTAGTGCAGGAGCGCCCTGGGCTCTGGAACGGGCATCACCCATACCTTTCCCAAAACAGACTTCCCGATTTTCCTTTCAAGGTCCAGAGCATTTAGCCTCTGCACTTCGCCGGCCGCAGCCGAGGATCTCTGCAGGTACAGGCGGGAGGGATTGTGCAGGTTCCACTTCTCCATACAGACCTGATGGGAGAGACCAGGAGGATGGAGTTTAAAGGTCAGAGAAAAGAGGGGCTGGGATTGGATGTGCTGCCACAGATGTAAGCCACCATAAAAACAGGAGGCTGGCTGGCAGGCGAGGGGAGGGAACCCCTAATGGCATCAAATTTTACTGGACAAGAGTGGTCCCTCATTCTTTTGGCTTGTTTCTGACAATTTGATAGTACTTTTATCTCCCACCCCCCTCCCCCTGACAAGCGACAGGGTTTCTCTGTTAAACAGCCCTAGCTGTCCTAGAACTAGCTATGTAGTAGACAAGGATGGCCTTGAACTCACAGAGATCTCCCTGGCTGTGCCTCTGCTTCCTGAGTGCTGAGATTTAAGGCGTACACCACCACCACTGGGCTTGTTTCTGACAATTTGAACAAGAGCCTTGTTATGTGGTCCAGATGGACCTGAACTCACTATGTAGGTTAGGCTGCTTTACATTCATGATCTTCCTCAGACTCTCACCTGGAACTCATTCTATACACCAGGCTGGCCTCAAACTCACATTCAATAGCCACCAGCTCACGGGTACTGATAGAGGGCAGCAACAGGACACAATGACCAGCAGAACATAACTCAGTGGCCCTGTGAAACACTTCCCCCCATTTATCAGCCTGGAGCTGCAGCTGAGGTTCAACACTAAGCCTTCTTCCCAGGGTCTTCCTCCTACCAGGCCCCAGCAAAGACTGACTCCCGCAAACACACTTGCTTTCTCTGAGTCAACCAAGATGAAGGGAGCAACATCCATGAGGTGCTTCATGGAACACAGGCAGCTAAGTGCCCTGCAGCCCTGAAGCATCAAGGACCCAGCCCAACAGTGACTCAGCTGAGCACCTCTTTCCTGCTCCAGGCTGACCATCAGCAGAGGAAAAAAAAGAGTCCAGCCAGCAGGGGTGGCCAGGGTTAGAAGGTGCCCCTGGGCTCCAGATATGGGGACCAGGCTTCAGGGGGAGGAAGGACTCTGTGGGCAGGAGGATCTCAACTTAGCAAACAGTGAGAGATGTGATGCAAAATGTGTTGGAGAATCAGAGGCTAACAAGAGCAGTAGGGCTGGCCTTTCCTAAACATGCCTGGCAGCCACCTCCACCAAGGCACCAGTCATACACACAGTGGCCAAAAGATAAGTACACTAAAATCATGTTTAAAATTACCCCCAGCTCATGTTTTAAGTATATATGAAACACACGTGATGAATCTCATGGGTAGACTTTGGGTCCCTCTCAAGTTGTCTAATTGTGTATATGCTGTGTTCAATTAAAAAAAAATCTAAAATGTGAGATTGGGATGGTGGCTCAGTGATTAGAACATTTGCTGTACAAGCACGAGGAGTGAAGTTCCTACCCCCCAGAAGCAGGGTAGGAGTGGCAGCCTGCCGGTAATTACATCCCTAGAAGGCAGAGACATGATCCCCAGAACTAGCCAGATCAGTGAGCTCTGGGTTTGATTGAGAGACCTCGAAGAATAAGGTGTAAGAACAATAAAGGATGATTCCCAATATCAACCTTGGGTTCCACATGCATGACCATGCCTGTGTAACCACATACATGTGAAAGCTAGCATAACACACGCATGCATGTACACACATGAAAAACTGGAAACAGAGAAATCTGAAACCCAAAGCATTTTTGAGCCCAAGTGTTTCAAATAAGGAACACATCCTGGGGTATCCAGGAAACTGGGAGAAGTTGCCCAGGACTCTGGTTTTCTCGAACATACAAGAGGTGATGAGCAACCTAGCAAATGTCTCACTAGGTGGTGGGGAAAAAGTGATCTTCTTGTCAGGCTCTCTATCACATGAGTTGTCCTTGTTATCTCCTTCCAGAACCACCTCTTTCCCCCTCCCCTGGAATCTCTTGGCACCTTGCCCAAGACATGACCTTCAACCTGACTTTTGCAAAATGGACATGCACAAGATGCAGGGGCAGGCAGTGTGTCAGGAGGAGGGCAGAACACAAGAGCCGGAAGAGACAAAGCCTGTCCCCGTGGGCGCATACCCATCCACAGCTGCCCAACTGTCCCTGTGGGCACATACCCGTCCCCAGCTGCCCAGGCTGTCCTCATCAGATTCAGGCTTTCGGTTGCTGTTGGAGTGGCCCTGCAAGGGAACAGAAAATGAGTGATTGTATGAGGGAGATTTTCCTCCCAGAGCCTAATTCCTGGGGAGCAGGACCAGCCCTTCCAGGGTCCCTTCTCTAGGGATACTGGTCTACCACTCCCAGGTGAAGCTGGGACCATTGTCTTTAGAGCTAATGAGCTCATAGACGTCCTGTCTGTGTGAACAGACTGAATTGGCCCCAGGGTACCAGAGTTGGCATGAAGCCACTGGAGAAAGGGTGGTTGGCTCTTCCTCTGGCCTAGCTTCCTCCTGCATGCTTCATGTTCATAATTATATAGCTGAGACCAGGGCCTTCCATGTGGTAGGTCTTATTGCACAGGTTCCGTTTTAGTGCATGGTGACATCTCTGAAGGGCCGAGAGTATGGGAGCCACCTCTACCCAGAGACTGCTGGGAGGAAGACTGAGGAAGGCCTGAGACCCTCTCCAGGACTGCCAGGGTTGTACCTGGGACCCTCCCAGCTACAACAGCACCAGTGAAGTCTATTACCCAGCATCCTCTCTGCTCAGCAACCAAAGGTTCCAGCTTCAGAGATTCTTCTGCCATTTTGCCTATGTTTTTGTTTGTTTGTTTGTTTGTTTTATGGTGGTTGTTCTTTTAGAGACAGGGTATCCTAAGCCCAGGCTAGTCCTGAACATAATCCTCTCAAGTGTGTCATGCGTCCAAATGCTTTTAACTTTCAACCTTATATCCAAGCGCTCTCTTCCCTTCCTCGTCCCCATTCATTTCACCATCCTCCCTGTGTTTGCTGCTGCCTGAAGTCTAGTTTGCTACTTGTTCTCAGAACCAACTCTTACTTGCCTGTTAGCTGAGGCAATGGATAACAGCTGAGGCAACCAAGATCTCCAGTCTTAAGGTCTGGGGGTGCTTACGTGTTCTCGGGGCTCAGGATCATCCAGGTCACTTCGCTTCTCGCTTGGGTATCCACTGTCCCCACTGTTCTCATAGTCCTGCAGAGAGAGGACAAGCTTAGGGTTCTGGTGGCGCGCCCAGCACCTGGTGGCGATGACATCTGGACATCCTAGTCATCTGCTCTCTCCTTGTTTCATCACCTCTTTCAACAGTCTTCTTCCTACCTCCTGCTGGTGGAGAGACCGGAAAGCAGTAAAAAGTAGTGGCCAAGAATTTAGGCCCTGGAGCCTGGAAACAACCCCTGACTTTGATACTCGCAGACCAAGACCTGGGCAATTGCTCAACTTATCTGAGCTTCAGTTCCCTTAACTATGAGATTCATTCTAGTACCTGCATTGAAGGACTAGTATAGTTTGGTAAAAGATGCATCCCCCACAGGTTCCCAGCTGGTTGTGCTATTGAAAGGAGAATGTATCACAAGAATGCTAACCTCATCCATGGGGTAACCCAGTGATGAGTTCATAGCTGAATGGGTTATCAGGACATGGGGCCTGGTTGGAGGAAGCAGGTTATTGGCGCACACCTCTGAATGCCTTTTATCTCCAGACCCTTCTGATCTCTTTGCTGCCCCTCTCTGTTTGCTGGCCACCATGAGGTGAGCAACTCTGCCACACCCTTCTGCCATTGAGTTCTGTCTCATCACACAGTACTAAAGAAGCCAAGTAACATAGGGCTGAAAGCCAGGAAACAGTGAGTGAAGTAAGTCTTTCCTCATTTGTTTATAGTCTTTTTGTTTTGAGACAGGGGCTCATGTAGCCCAGGCTGGCCTCAAACTCACTATGTCACCAAGGATGATCTTGAACGTGTGTTCTTCTTGCCTCTACAAGTGCTGGGATTACAGGTGTACACTACTATTCTCAGTTTCCGTGGTTCTGGGGATTGAACTCAGAGAGCTTCACACATGCTAGGCAAGTACTCTCTCTACCAACTGAGTACATCCCCAGCCCCCATCTAGTTCTAGAATATAATCTGTTGGAAAGGGAATCTTGAGAATGAAGTGAGAAATCAAAACTCTTTAAAATACCATCTGGTCAAGATGATAAAACAGCAGTCAAAAGTGAACTTGGACCTGTGGGGCAATCTGAGAGATGCTCGAAGCAGGCCTGATCTGGGCTGCCTCCCTCAATCTAAAGCCCTCTTCCACACCACCCTGGGGATGGCAGTCGGCAGCCTCCCTTCTCTCCACTCACCCGGTGATTGTCCATGTGGTCGTGGTCTCTATGGCTCATGTTATCGAAGTCACCAAACACTGGCCAATCTGAGCGGGGACAAGCAAAGGTGATATAGGACGTGCCCAAAAGTCACACACAGCCTGCCTACAGCACATGGTACCTGTACCAAACTTCACTGTGTAGCCCAATTCCTGGCAATCCTCCTGTCTCAGCCTCCCAAGTGCTGGGGTTACAGGTGTGCACCACCATGCCCAACATTTTACCTTTAATATTGTGTACACGTGTACACACACACACACACACACAATTTATTTTTGGTTGTTTTGAGACTGGGTTTCTCTATGTAGCCTTGGCTGTCCTGGACCTAGCTCTGTAGATCAGGCTGGCCTCGAACTCAGAAATTCACCTGCCTCTACCTCCCCAGTGCTAGGATTAAAGGTGTGCGGCCTGACCTCTCCACTACTTTTAATTTTTAAAGAGAAGCACCACATGGGGAAAACATACTGTCACCCATGAAGGTGACAATTCCTTCCAAGTCTACCACTTGATAGCCATGGGGGATGCATGTCTTTGTCATGTGCATAGCTATACATATAGTGTACTGAGTAGCACGATCAACTCTGAAGAAAGAACAGATATGGTAGAAGGGAAGCCATCTGTCCATGTGGGGCTCAAAGTGAGGGTCACAACATGGCTTTCAAGCCAACTGTCTCGGGGCAGTCATCTTTCTTCTATCCTAAGCAAGCTGTAGCCTGACCCATCCGGATCCGGCTGACATTTTTTTGTTTGTTTGGTTTTTCGAGACAGGGTTTCTCTATATTGTTTTGGAGTCTGTCCTGCAACTCACTCTGTAGACCAGGCTGGCCTTGAACTCACAGAGATCCGCCTGCCTCTGCCTCCCCAGTGCTGGGATTAATTAAAGGCATGCGCCACCAACACCTGGCTTTTTTTTTTTTTTTGGTGTCATTCAGACAGGCTCTGGCTGTTGTGGAACTCACTCTGTAGACCTGGTCTTGAACTCACAGAGATCCTCCTGCGTTAGTCTCCCAAGTGCTGGAACAAACATGTGACCTCCACACTTAGTAGGTTGACCATTTTTATTAAGTCTGAAACAATGCAGGCTGGGGAGATCTTAGTAGTAGAGAGAGAATAAGCCAAGAAGGAGGCTTGTGTTCAACCCCAGCATACACCCATGTGCACACAGTTCATAAAAACAGCTTTTACGTTTTAAAATAGCTTTTAATACTTTTAAAGTATTTTATGGCAAGCGCCTCTATCCAGCAAGCCATCTTGCTAACCTCAGTTTTGCTCTTTTGACTTATTAATATGATATTAACAAGTTTCCTAATGCTGAATAACTCTCAGATTCAACTATAATGGGCCAACAGTTTTTGTTAGTATGTACATATATGGATAGTTCCTTTTTTCAAATTTATTATGTATACAGTGTTCTGCCTGCATGTATGCCTGTAGACCAGAAGAGGGTACAGATCTCATTATAGATGGCTTTGAGCCACCATGTGGTTGGTGGCTGGGAATTGAACTCAGTACCTCTGGAAAAGCAGGCAGTGCTCCTAACCACTGAGCCATCTCTCCAGCACAGTACTTTATATTTTTAAAAAAGACTGTCTTGCGCACGCCTTTAATCCCAGCACTCGGGAGGCAGAGGCAGGCGGATCTCTGTGAGTTCGAGACCAGCCTGGACTACCAAGCGAGTTCCAGGACAGCCTCCAAAGCCACAAAGAAACCCTCTCAAAAATCCAAAAAAAAAAAAAAAAAAAGATTGTCTTATGGGAGGTGTGGTTGGTTTGTTTTAATTTTTGAGAGAGAGACTAGCTAGATAGCCCTGGCTGGTCTGGAATTGCTATGTAAATCAGGCTGGCCTCAAACTCAAGATTTCCCTGCCCTCTGCCTCAGTCATGGACCACCATAACTGGCTTATTCATAGTTTGTATACTGTGTTTGTAATGGTGTTGAAATGAAATGTTCTCTTCTGCGTTCTGTCAGATGCCAGCTTTGCTAGCCTCATAAACCACATGGAGGTGGATTGTGTATTTTCCTATACTAGATGGCTGCATCTTGAAAGTTTGTCCAGTGAACTCACCAGTAGTGCCATCTGGGCCAAACTGTCTCATTTTCTACCATGAATGAAACTGGTTTAGCTCTGCTCTGCCTGGTGGCTGCTCCTGTGATCTCTGTATCTAGGACTTACGGAGCTGGTCCAATTTCTGGCTATGTGGTGTGGCCGAAGACGGGGAGGAAGGCAGAGAGTCAAAGGTCACATCGCTCATGTTCTCATCCCCGGAGTTCTCTGAAAGGCGGAACAGCAAGGGGGGGCGGCTGCCAGAGAGAGTCCTTATGCAGGGACTCCCACACTTCTCCTCTGTCCCCCTCAAGATGGTCTTGGCCGATTGCTGGGGACATAATGGGGATATTCATGTCATGCAAGTCTTCTATAGGGAATGGAAGTTCCTCTGAATCCTGAAACCTTTTCATCAATGGCTTTTCTACATGTGTAAGAGAGACTCTTACTGAAAAATTAGTTCAGGATTAACCCTATGGTGTCCAAGAAGGGGTATATAGATGGAACTCAAAGGGGCTACTAGTCTGCACTTCCTAAAGCACTGTCCATGGTCCATAGGCTTGAGCTGCAAGTACCCCAAGGTACAACCCAGAGGCCAAAATTTGTTTTTGCCAGTAGTCTCCTGAATTGGTTCTTGTCGAAAGAGTAAGCTAGCTGGTCCCACTGTACACATTCAGTGGGCCCAGAGAACCAGATCTAGTCATTTGTTAGTGCAAGTGGGCATGGACATTTCCTGTCACTTCTGCTCTGCATCTTTTCCTCACTCTGGTCACAAACAGGTCAAAGCTAAGCAAATGCCATCCCACAGGAAGCAGACCCTGCCCTCTTGGAGACAGAAGCTGGCCCCGTTGGAGTGAATTGCCACTGAGTACTCACCAGCAGCTTGGTGTTCTGATTCACCACAGCCTGCTCCCTCGGTGAAAGGTCAAAGGGCACAAGGCCCATGCTCTCGCAAATCCGGTTACAGGCATGAGAAGAGAAGAAGAGAGCCATTCCCCGAACACCTGTAGGCAGAACAGGGGTGCCTGGTATCTTACTTCTGCCCAGTGACAAAGGACAGTGGGGACATGGAAATGTGGCTGGGACAAGCAGGAAAAAAAATGCTGACCTAAAGGGGTGGTGGATCAAGCGAACCAAGTTCCCACCCCCATAATCTCAGGGAAGACCCAACAGTGTGTGTCAGTGTGTTCCCCTGGGTGGAGAAAGAACTAACAGATTTTAAGGGAGCATGGTCTCTGTGGACATGGCCCAGCTCTCCCCACTTACCGAGGTTGCCATCTCCAAAGTCAGTGCCTGTCTCAGTGTGGATCTGTGGGTCAGTATAAAGGTCACCCACACCCTGGATGTCTACCACGATCAGCTGATGACCAGAATGCTCAAATGTGAAGTGGCTGAAGGCCTGTGTCAGGGCAGGAAGAGAAGGTAGCTGCAGCAGACCAGATTTGTGAACGAGGCAGATGCTGGGCCAGAGGTTGGGATACTCAGGTCCGCCCTGGTGAGGGCATTCTCTGCGAGAAGAGCTTTATAGAGTAAAAGACAGAAGAAGGATCTGCTCGACTCCGCAAAGACCTCAGGGTTATAGGTTTATTGCCATCTGAGGACTGCTGAAAGAAACCAGCACAGGGTAGCAGGTGTATTGCCTGAAAAAGAATCTTGGGAGATGACTTGGTGGTTAAACACAATCATGAGGACCAGGACTTGGAGCCCAGGAATTCATGTAAATGTCAGGCTGCAGATTTAGGTCCACTTCTAAAGTCCAACTTTAGAAGGTGGAGATGGGATGCCCGGAGCAAGCTGGCTAGAAAGACTAGCCATATCAGCGAGCTCTGGGTTTGAATAGGAGACCCTGACTCAAAGAATAAGGAGGAAGAGTGATCAAAGATGATCTCCAACACCACATAGGCACTCATACCGGTGCACACACACCCAGGTAGGTATATACTCGCATGCAGATACGCATGACATGTGCACACACATGATATGTACACTGCAGACAAACACATGGAAAGGGTTGGGGGATCTTCTTTAGGGGCTGGGGATACTGTTTCGTGGTAGGGCAGGTGCCTCTCATGTTGGAGTCCTAGGTTCATCAAGCATGTTCTAATGGATGGGAGGAGCCTCTGAGGATGTAAAACTCCACCCATAGGAATCTCCTTGTCTAGGGTTGAGCCTTCCCCCAAGGGGATGGAAGATGAAAAGTGTGAGCAGAGCAAGCCCAGGGTCTCACCTGTGGTGTTAGTCGGATGTCGTCATCACGGACAAAGCCTGAGTTGGAATTATACTTGATGTACTTGCCCTCAATATAGTGCTCCAGGTGAAAGAGGGGTTGGCCTTGTCTGTTCTTTAGCTCAATGATGCACATCTGCATGATATCCACCTGGAGAAAGAACAGGGAGCAGGGTCAAGTGGAAGGGGCCGGGCTAGGCGCACATTGCTCTTGCGGGCACAGATCGGGTCTCACCACTCAGCAGCTCTCTTGCAAGAACTGCTACCTGTACCAGGAATTCACTCCCCTCCTTTTAAGTATGAAGACCTTCATCTCTGGATTTTAGCAGGATGCATGGCAAGGATCACAAAGGGAATCACACTGATTAGCCTCTCTTGCCGGTAGGTATGACCATGTGACCACACTTAGCCAATGGGAAATGAGTCCCAGCAATGCCATAACTGCAGCCTGCCCTGTAAGGTGGACTGCTTGGGAGCCATAACTGGAACCATGGTCAATGCAGTCCTAGGAGATGAGAGTGACAGGACAGAAAGAACCAGGTCCCTGGATGACTTCAAAGACACAGCCTGCTCAGAGCTGCTTTTATAGAAAGTAGAAAGGAACCATTTTATGTCTGTGCAAACTTAATGGAACTCTTTGCTAGCAACTCAGACTGGGACTGACACTAATATTGTAAGTTTGGGCAAGTTATTTCTTGTCACTGTGTTTTAGTTTTCTTTTGTGCAGATAGGGGGTTGTCGGACTTGGCACAAAGATTAAATTTATTGATGCACAAAGAGGTCATTGTTCATGCTATTATTGCTGCTAAGTTGTGGTCAGACATGGTGTCCTAAACTGATGGTGCCACAGAACCTTTAGGAAGTGAAGTTCTACCAGAGGAAGTTTGGGGGTTTATCGTTCAGCCCACATCCTGTTTGCTTGACCATCTGCCTCATGTTCCTGCTGACAGGCCTTTCCTACCAACTCTGAACAAAAATTAACCCTGACCCCTTTCCTTAAGTTTGATTCCAACAAGAAAAGTAGTTTCTCAGAAGTGGGGAATTACAAGGAATGTCAACATTTTTTTGAATTTTTAAAAAATTTATTTATTTTGGTTGGGGGCTTTTAAGATAGGGTGTTACTATGTAGCTCTGGTTGTCCTGGAACTCACTTTGTAGACCAGGCTGGCCTCAAACTCATAGAGATTTGCCTGCCTCTGCCTCCTGAGTACTGGGATTAAAGCATGCACCACAAAACCTGGCTAGAAATTTATACGGTATGTGTGGAATGTTATACACATACACTAATTAATATTGTTAACTAATATAGACACTATGCATGGTTTCTAAACTGGAGTAAAAGAGACCTGTGGCTTCTGATTCCTGAGGACACTGCATGGCACCTGTCCCTCTCAATATCACCCATACATGGAAAGAACCAGGTTTGGGCTTCAAAAGCAATGACCCTCTAGCGAAGAGGGTCACCAGACAGGCAGGCAACAGCTACAGAAGCAACCTGAGCCAAGAGGTGACAGCTGAGACCTTTAGCAAAGACAGCTGCAGTTCTGAGAACCAACCTGGGGGGAAGAGCAGACAGTTCCAGGGCTATTACATGGAGAAATCCTTTCTCAAACAAACAAATAAATTTTAAAAGTTAAAAAAAAATTTAAAAAGGCATTGTCATCCCAGTAAGATTGGTGAGAAATGAGCCTGTAGCTACTCAGGACACACGGAGGTGGTGCCAACCCAGATACCCAGGCCATATAGATGGTTCCTAATAACCTCAGCATGGCCGTACCAGCTGTGCCTAAAGCTGGATCTAGTTTTCAAGTGCATGAAACAAGGACTTCTCTTGTTTCTCAGTCTAGATGGGTTTCTACCATCTGCAAACAAAACTCATGAAAGAACAACGAAATGGCTCAGCAGGTAAAGGAGCCTGCCAACAAGCCTGATGACTTGAGTTCAATCCCTGGGCCCCAAATGGCAAAAGGAGAGCACCAACTTTCAAAGGTGGTCCCCTGACCTCCATACATGTGATGTGGCATGTATGCACCGGTCACACCACAAAATAGACATAAATTATTAAAAATTATTTTATAGAGATCATAACAAACAAATCCCATTTATCAACAGAGATTAAAAACACTCTAATCACAGAGCTCCTGGTTTTTAGGAATAAATGATTCACTATATATGAAGTACATGACTTACAATGTCAAAAAACAAAAAAAGGTGATAGTTACTTGGCAACTGGTAAGAAGGCGAGGGGCTAGTCATGGTGGTACTTGCCTTTAATCCCAAAATTCCAGAACAAGACCCTGTCTCAAAACGCCAGGGGCTTGAGATGTGGCGACATGGTCCAGCACTTGCCTGGCATATGCAGAGGTCTCATTCAATCCCCAGCGCCCCAGAAAAGGTGAAGCTAGGACCCTGTGTTTCACCATCACCCTCGTGGCCAGTCAGTGCAGGAGGGAGGCAGACGGGGCTCACACACCTGCTTGGGAGGCTTGTGCCGATTGTACTCCTCCCCCCAGAGCTTAGCCTCCATCTGGAGCTGGACATCCTCAAAGTACACGCTCCTGTCCACTGGCTCAATATAGCGTTTTGCCACGTAGTTGGAGGCTCCCTTCCATTGCTGGGCGTGCAAAAAGTTGGAGAGCTTCTTCCTGGGGAGAAAGACAAGGGGGAAGACTGTCTGGACCTCAGGGGTTCACTGCAGCACATCCTTGAGGTCTCAGAAGAACTAAGCCCTGTCTGACATGACTAGGTGGAGGATGGAACAGAGTACAGGAGCCAGAGGAAAAGCAGCATCCCACTCCTCTAGAAAGGCTAAGGACCAGTGTCTGTGGCCTCCCATTCCACCCTCTGTGCCTCCAAATACCCAAGCAGGTGAGTGGCCATTCCCTTTCCTTCCAGAGTCCTACAACTGGGCCAGGTGGGGCCCAAGAGACACCAGATAGAGAAGAACGTGGGCTAAACAGAGGCACCCACCACTTGTTTCAGCCTTTGGTTGGAAATACCTCGCTAGTCCTAGCTTTTAGGAGTCTAGGCAGAAGGCCCAGGCCAAGTCACTTACGTCCTGAAGCACTCCCTCATTGCTCCACGGCCGAAGGGCTGAAAGATAGGACAGAGTCATCAGTGCCTACATCCCATGATCCCCCCTGTCACTGCCTACTCAGCAAGGGGTCCTTTACATTACCTCAATCCTAATAACCCTAGACTATCCCTCCTGGGCCTCAGTGCCAAAGCCTTTCAGCTTGGAGACTGCTGGGATGAGGAGGATGCTGAGATACATCATTTCAGCCCAATGGAAGAACCTACAGGGGGGCCAAGATGCTGGGGAGGGGCAGTGCAAGACAAAGGTATTTTTCAGTCTTTGCTTTTCCTCGCTTTGCCCCCTGGCCACCATCGGGTGAACAGGCCTCGTCTGCCACGTGCTCCTGCTGGGATACACTGAGCCCACATAGGCCCAAAGCAACAGGGCCAACAGAACACACACTGAAAAAGTTCTGAAACCATGAGCCAAAGTGAACCTCTTTCCTTTTTAAGATGATCATATAACTCAGGAACGGTGACTCATGCCTTTGATCCCAGCACTAAAGAGGCAGAGGCAGGACAACTTCTGAGTTCAAGGCCAGCCTTGTCTATATATTGAATTCCAGGCCAGTGAAGGCTAGATAGAGAAACCCTGTCTCAAAAAAAAAAAAAAAAAAAAAAAAAAAGTTTGTGTAGGAAATTGTGAACAGGTATAAAAAGCTAAATGATGTTATCTCAAAACAGAAGGAAGGAAAAATGGCTCAGCAGTTGAGAACACTTTTTGCCTTGCGGAGGACCCGAGTTCAGCACCGAGAATCCACATCAGGCAGCTCACAACCACCTGTAACTCCAGCTCCAGGCCTTTGGGGACACTGTACTCATTTGCACATGCAGGAACACATACATACAAACATACAAACACACACACACACACCACTTAAAAATAAGAAGACAAACCAGGCAGAGATGGCTCACGCCTTTAATTCCAGTACTTGGGAGGCAGAGGCAGGTGGATCTCTGTGAGTTCGAGGCCATCCTGGTCTATGAAGCAAGTTCCAGGGAAGCCTCCAAAACAATACAGAGAAACCCTGCCTCGAAAAACCAAAAAAAAAAAAAAGAGAGAGAGAGAGAGAGAGAGAGAGAGAGAGAGAGAGAGATAAAGGAGGAAGACAGTAAAAACAGAAAGAGAGGCAAGCCGTCTAAACGTCCATCAGTAATCTGCCACACAAAGCACTAGGTCTAGTCATTCAATGAAGCATTTATGCAGCACAGAAGAAAAAGGGAAATGTTGGATCTGGAAAGATAGAGCCGCTGGGAAGCAGAGCACTGGCTATTTTTCCAGATGACCTGGGTTCAATTCCCAGCACCCACATGGCTGCTCACAACTGTCTGTAATTCCAGTTCCAGGGGACTCAAAACCCTTGGCAAAACACTAATGCACATAAAATAATTTGTTTTAATCATTTAGGAAAATAACAAGTAAAAGAAGCCACACTCAAAAGATACAATAACAGATGAACGGAAGTCTTAGGACAGGGTCTGGGACAGTGATGAGCCTTACTGGGTGAGCAGTGACTGAGAGGAGTCTTGGGAACACAGGCTATGTTCTGCTTCTCTGGGAGCTGTGTCAGCATGCCCACCTTGGGGACACACATCAAGACGAATGTTTTGCTTGCTTCTTGGAGTGGGGATGGAACCCACTGCCTCCCACATGCCAAGGACTTACACACCAATGAAGAACAGCTCCTCTCTTGTTTTTTTTTTCTGCGAGTGTGTTACATCCAGCACTCGGGAGGCAGAGGCAGGCGGATCTCTGTGAATTCGAGGCCAGGCTGGACCGACAGCCTCCAAAACAATACAGAGAAACCCTGTCTCGAAAAACCAAAAAAAAAAAAAAAAAAAAAAAAAAGGTCCCCTCAGGACTGGAGAGATGGCTCAGAGGTTAAGAGTACTGACTGCTCTTCCAGAGCTCCTGAGTTCAATTCCCAGCAACCACATGGTGGCTCACAACCATCTATAATGAAATCTGGTGCCCTCCTCTGACTGGCATGCAGACAGAATACTGTATACATAATAATAAACAAAATCTTTAAAAAAAAAAGAGGTCCCCTCACTCTGCAGGAAGAGCCCCTTCTTCCAATCCTGCTCTCTTTTTTTCTTTGCAGGAGGCTTGTTGCAGCTGCTGAATGTGTTTAGTAGCAATAATAATGATAATGATGATGAGAATAATAATATAGGGTAGTGCCACGAAAATCAGGCCACTGGCAGTGACCTACTGAGAGGTCTTCATGACATCTTTGTGTATGAGGTGCTTAGAACCAAGCTATCTACAATACTGAAATTGGGCCTGGGGTTTCCAGGAGTTCGGGGTGGACAGGAAGGGTAAAAATATTCTGACAACAGCTCCTCAGCTGAGGGTGGGTCTTCCTGGGCCATGCCCAGTCCATGGTGGGATTTGGGCTGGCTTGATCTCTCGAGCAGGACATAGGATGTGAGTATGCCTCGGGGATTCAACCCCTGGTAGGCAGTCCATGATCCAGTGTGTGCCTCCGTGAACATACTAGTGGACTCTATGGCTATACAAAGTTGTGTGAGTGTATATGCTTGGGGGGGGGTGATGGCATGGGGAAGAGTACGGGGAGATGATCAGAACACATATGTGCATGTATGAAACTCTAAACAATAAATTTTGAAAATGTGGATCAGGTTCTGGAATTGAATGGTGACTGTTAAACAGCTAAAAGCCATTGAATTGTGTAAGTTTTTCTTTCCTTTTGCAGTGCTGTGTGTATGTTTTGGGGGTAGATACTAAGGTCTTGTGCATGCCAGGCAAGCACCCCAAACTTGAACTGTATAAATGAAGTAGGCAATGTGTATGACATGTGAGATACATGTTAGTGAACAAGTTTGTAAAGACACAAAATGTTGGCTGGTGAAACCGCTCAGTGAGTAAAACTGCTTGCAGCCGAGCCTGACAGAATGAGCCCCCAGTCAGTACCCACATGGTGAAGAGAGAATAAATTGTCACAAGTTGTCCTCTGACCTCCTGTGCACAGCAGCACCCATGCCCTCACACACAAACAGCTAACTAAACGTAGTAATAATGATTTGAAAACATAATTCAGGACCAGCGAGTGGCTCAGCAAGCTTGCCACCTAGCCTGCCAACATGAATTTGACCCCTGGGATCCATATGGAGAAAAAAAATCAAGCTGTACACACACACACACACACACACACACACACACACACACACACACACACTATGTGTAAATGGTAACACAGAAAAACCCCAAAGATAAAAATAAAAGTGGGTTCACAGCGTGCACAGAGGAAGCTGAGGCAGGAAGCTGTGAGCTGAGGCCAGCCCCAGTTGAGTGTAATGGTGGCTAGCCTGGCCAGCAAAGGAAGGTTCTGTCTGTTTCTGTCTGTCTCTCTCTGTGTCTGTCTCACACACACAACACAAATAAATGAAAATAAAAAACAAAGTTAAATAAAGTGGGAATGGAAGGAAGGCACTAAAAATGGCTTGGGAAAGTCCCTACTGGGTCCTGTCCCCTCACAGTTCAGGCTTCTGCTTACCTGAGATGCCATCTTGATCAGAACCTCGTCTTTCAGCCATTCCCCGGTGACAGCGTTGTACCTACAGAGATCAGAGCCCACCTAGAGCATCCTGGTCCTGCGCCTCACTAGCACAAACTCTCCTGGGCTCTCTATGGGCCTCAGGACCCAGCCCACTCTGCACCTGGGCCAGCAGGCTTGCTGAGTCTTGGGGTGGGCTGTGGACACCTTCCCTCCCTCCCAGACTCTACCCATGACCTTAAGGGGACTTGCTTTTTCTCTATGTGGTATTGTCAAGACCAGCACTCTCTGCTGGGCTCTTGTCTGGCTTGCTCTGCTCTTTCATGAGGCCACAACTCCACAAAACAGGCCCATGTCTGTCTTGCTCACCACAGGGCCTAGTGTGTGGAAATGCTTAACACACACATACTGGACAGATGACTGGAGATATAAATATCCTTATAACTGGTCTATATAACTGCCAGGTCTCAGGCAGTCCAATAGCAGTCTGTATATCCAGAAATGAGTTCAAGCTGGACTACAGCAGGACCTCTGGATATATGGACTGCCTGAGACCTAACAGTAAGAAACAGAAAGTCCCAGAGAGGAAGGGAGGCAGCAATCTATTAACTTTGCCAAGCACATGTGGGCCAGGCACCGCCCACACAGGTAGATAGCATCTCCCAGAGGTAAGGACTGTCACAGTGCATGTAGGGGGCAGGGAGGAGCTGCCTCTGAGGAGAGATAAGAAAGAGTAGGGAGGAAGTTATAGGAGTGTAGGTAAGAAAGAGATGGGGGGGGCTGGTTAAGAGGTTGAGAGTGTAAGAGACAGGTGGACAGAGGTGTGGAGAGGTGGAGAGGAAGGGGGAGACATCATGAGAGGGGGAGATGAGAGAGGAATGGAAGGAAAGATGAAAAGTAGTGACAGGACAATGGAGAAAGAAGAGGTGGCAGGGGGAGGGGTAGTTCCAGAATATCCCCATCTTTGCTCTCCCAGGAATTCTCTTCCCAGTGCAATTCTGGCAGCCCCAGGCCTGGGGGAGTTCCCAGCCTCAGTGAGTCACTACAGCAGGAACCAACCCTTATCTCTCTCTGGCCAGTGGCCTCCAGGTTCAGAACACCCAGACCTGGGAAAACAGGTTTATCAGGGGGTGGAACTGACAGAAGCCTGGCAGGTTACCTCTGCAGGCTCAGAGGAGGAGGGCTCTGCCAGGCTGTCAATTTACCTGCAGCCAGTGGGAGGCAAGCACTGTGTTCTACATGGCATCTATGTGGAGATGGAGGCCACAGATGTGCCACTCCCTCGCCTCCACTTGAGAGGCGCCCAGAGGCTGGGGGCGGGGGTCAGTGTGCAACCTTGAAAGGGTTGTGCTTGCTGCTCACAACCACTAACACCATAAAGGCAAGAGTTAGCCAGGACTGGTGACAAAGACCTGTAACCCCAGCTACTTTCAATAGCCAAGTTAGAAGTCTGTCTGGGCTATACAGTAAGTTCAAAGTCAGTCTTGGCCAACCTGGGGGGACCCTATCTCAAAATAAAAATGAAATGAAGGTTGGGAACATAGCTCACAGGCAGAACATTTGTCTATCAGACATCTAGGAAGCCCTGGGCTCAATCCCCAGTAACACAGTAAGTAAATAAAGGAATGACTAAATGCCCAGTGTGTCTGAAGTTCGTGGAGTTCACTATATGCCGGGTTCTTAAAGAGACCTTCTCATTTACTCTTTGCAGAGACCCTGAGGTGGCGACAATCATTGTACCTGTTTTACAGAGGTGAGGTCTCCTGACTGAGTGTCAGATTCATATTCAAGCATGTTTAAAGCAGAATCTAGCTCTCAACCAGCCAAAGAGTTCAGGGGGACAGGAAACCTATCCTAAACAGAGGGCCAGCTTGTACCAAGGCTTTTCATCTTAAAAGGCTATGGACAGAGAAAGAAGTGTCAGGTTTAGACATTTCAGAATGTTTCAGGCATCCATGTTTGGCCTCCAGTAATCAGAATGTTCTAGACAGCTATGCTTGGCATCCTCTCACTGGCAGCCTGGGTAGCATAAACCCAGCCATTTAGGAAATAAATAGTTCAGCCTGGTCTAAGATCCCAGCTGGGCTTCAAAACACAGAGCCTGCTCAGCATAGAGCCCCTGTCTCCCTGGTGATCCTTGGGGCCAGGACACTGTGTCACCCTAGTACTCTCACAGGTAGAAAGAGGGAGGACAAACACACCTCACATGCTTGGGTCCAAACCATGCTGGCCCACCCTGCCCCCACCCTGGGAGGCAGGCCTGCAGCTGAGGAGAGGAGGCACAGAGGGGCTCTGCAGCCACCTCCTTGAAGGAGCAGAAATGATGGAGAGGACAGAGTGTGCTAGCCAAGGAAAAATAATGCCCCTGCCAGTGACCATGCATCAAAACCTGCTGCGCTGCCTTGATACTGTCTGCTCTACTGGTGTTTGCAAGGCCAAGTGTTGGGATTATGGTGTCACAAGTCAGAAGGAGCCTGGATCCCTGAGCTGCCCCGGGAAGCTGCTCAACTCTCAGCCAACTTCAAATGGAGGATAAATGCATCTTTGCCGTATGAACCGCTCCCCCTTCCTTAACCAAAACATCTGGGACCAAAATGTCTCCACATGTCAGATTGTTCTCAATTTTGAATGTTAGTACAGACTTAGCTGACTGGGCCTCTCTGACAATCCCACCTGCTATAGAATCTGAAGTTGGGGTATTGTATTAGTTCTTTAACCAGAAGCAGGAACCACGATGCCCCACCTCCAACCCACAAGGACTGCTTTAATCCCAGCATTTGAGAGGCAGAGGCAGTCGGATGGATCTCTGTGAATTTGAGACCAGCCTGGTCTACAGAATGAGTTCCAGGAAAGGCTCCAAAGCAATACAGAGAAACCCTGTCAAGAAACAAACAAACAAACAAAAAGACAACAACAAAAAAAGCCCCTGGGACAAACTGCTGACCTGTGCCGAGTAGCATGTTCTGTGGTGATGTCCTCGAGGTGGAACTCGGCCCAGGGGTCAGGCATATGCTTGGCCTTCTCAATCGCGTGCTTCCAGGCTTCCTGCAGAAAGGCAAAGGGAGCATGAGGCCTGGGCCGGGGCAGCCAGCCGCCTCTTCCCTAGTTATGTCCCCTGGGAAGGACCACAGCATCTAAAAGAAAGGATTCCCATCCGCTGTCCTCCCAAGAACAGTCCCGAAGGGACCCAGCGTGTTCTCAGGGGCTCGGCCCATGGACAGAAGTCGCTGACATGTTAATTACACAATTCTTCACTTGTGGGAGAGATGGTTTGGTGTTTAAGAGCATGCACTGTTCTTGCAGAGGACCTGAGTTTGATTTGATGAGCAGTGGCCACATTGCACAGATCACAGATGCCCATAACTCCAGCTCCAAGAGATCTGTTGTCCTCTTCTAGCTTCTTATGATGGCGAAGCCTATGTGCATGTACATGTTCACACACACACACAGACACACACCCACACACAGAGGTTTTTTTCCTTTGTTTTTTTAAATAAAATGAGTACTGGGCAGGCAGACTTCTGTGAGTTTGGGGCCAGCCTGGTCAACATAGTTCCAGGAGAGCCAGAGCTACACAGCGAGGCCCCATCTCAAAGAAAATTGTGCTTGCCTGGTACACAAAGGCCCTAAGTTTGGCCTCCAGAAAAATGTTCCTTTCTCCCATTTAAACAAGTTTAAGCATTAAAAAAATTTTTTTTTGGTTTTTTGAGACAGAGTTTCTCTGTTAACAGTACTGGCTGTGCTGAAATTTGCTTTGTAGACCAGGCTGGCCTTGAACTCACAGAGCTCCACCTGCCTCTGCCTCCCAAGTACTGGGACTAATACCTGGCAAGTTTAAGCATTTCTATTGAGTGCCTGACAAGACACTATTTTCCTGCTGTAGCACCACTGTAAATCCTGTGTGTAAAAGGCACCCTGCTATAATGGGGGGCGGGGGAACCAACAACAAAATCTCATTTCTAACTTCACTCAGCAGCTCCTGCATCCAGGAATCGATCCCACAGGAGGAGAACTAAGCTCGCTCTCACACTGATACTAGACATATCCTGTGCCAGCCTAAGCACTATGGCAAGACCCGCTTAAACAGGCTCTCGTCATCACGTAGAAGGCTAAGAAGCTAGGCATAGTGGTGCACATCTGAAGTCCCAGCCTTGGAAGCTGAGGCAGGTGGATTGCCTGAGTTTGAGGTGGGCCTGGCCTGGGTTACATAGAAAGTGCCAGGGCAGACAGGGCTACATAGATCTGGTTCAAAACGAGGAAGAAGAATGAGGAGGGGGGGTGAAGAGGAGAGGAAGAGGAGGGGAAGGAGGAGGAAGAAAGGCTGTTACACGGCTTTGTGGTATGTGCTATGGTCTGAGTGTGTCCCAAGCCTTATGTGTTGGAAACTCAATCCCTGAACTCCCATGTGGATGGTATTTAGAGACAGGATCCTTGAGAGCTGACTAGGAGTGGAGGAGGTCATGTGATGACTCAGCAGGATAAGGCTCTCACCAGATCCCAGGAAGATGCCAGATAGTGCCCTTGGACTTTCCAGGATCCAATCTTTTTTTTTTTTTTTTTTTTTTTTGGTTTTTCGAAACAAGGTTTCTCTGTGGCTTTGGAGGCTGTCCTGGAACTCACTCTGTAGACCAGGCTGGCCTCGAACTCACAGAGATCCGCCTGCCTCTGCCTCCCGAGTGCTGGGATTAAAGGCGTGCGCCACCAACGCCCGGCCCAGGATCCAATCTTATAAACTAAATAAGTTTCTATTTTAAAAGAAATTTTTAATTAATTTATTGTGCCCCCCCTTTTTCTTTTTTGAGTCAGGGTTTCATTTTGTAGAATACTATTTTAAGGTGTGTTACTTTTGTTTATGCTGCATTTGTTTAACTCTGTGAAGCTGTGATTCTTTGCCTGTCTAAAACACCTGATAGTCTAATAAAGCGCTAAATGGTCAATAGCAAGGTAGGAGTAAGAATAGGTGGGGCTGGTAGGCACAGAGTATAAATAGAAGGAGAAATGAAAACACAGGGAGGAGCAAGAGAATGAGAGAGGAGGACATCAGGGGCCAGCCCAGCCAGCCAGTAAGAAAAAGTAAAATATACAGAAGAAAGATAAAAGCCCAGAGGGAAATGGTAGAAGAGCTAGAAACAAGCCCAGCTAAGGCTGGGCTCTTATAACTAAGAATAAGCCTCCATGTGGGGTTTATTAGGGAGCTGGTTAGTGGGCTCCTCAAACAGCCAAAAAGTCAAAAGAGCAAAACCAGCACACAACAGTTTCATAGTATAGTCCTTGTTCTAAAATTCACAATGTTGTCGAACAAGCTGACCTCAAACTCATGAAGATCCTCCTGCCTCTCAAATGCTAGGATTAGAGGTGTGTGCCAAAACACCCACCTAGCAGCTGGTCTTTATAAACCATCCCGTCCCAGTTGTTTTGTTACAGCTACAGAAAACAGACTGTCTTAGCAGCTTCCTATGTTACCAAAGCAGAATCCTCCCTGCCCTTTCTGAACCAACATCCTTAAGTCCATGGTGCTGTCAATCTTCACCACCCTTTTGCTCTCGTCCTAAGAAACTCAAATCTTTGCCCCAGAGGAACTTAAATCTTAGTTCCAGAATCATCAAGGCCCAGACTCCCTTCCAGGCCTGTGGATCTTCCCATAGGTAGAGGACTGGATATAATCTGGGTGAGACAGGCCAGAAGGAGTTCTGAGATAGGAAGGAGCAGTCAAGGGACAGCAATTTCTGATGGCCTTTGTCACTATCAGTGTCCCTCTGTGCCCTGGCCATCCCTGGAAGAAGTCCAGCTTCCCAGGCCTCAGCAGAGCTGCACATAGACTACCTCCTAGCATGGACCCCCCTCACTGGGACCCTGTTAAAAATAGAAGTCATCGGGGAAAAGTTGAGACTACACACACACACACACAGCCAGAGCTCCCTTCCAAGAGGCTTTCCAATCTCTGCAAAGCCCATTTTTTCCCCTTCCAGTCTGGAAGCTAATTTAGGATTAATGAAGCCACTTGGCAAATACAGAAAAGACCCCAGTAACCACTGTCCATGCATGCCTTCAGTGAGTTCTATCCCATGCATTTAAAAAAAACTATGGCTGGAATCACACAGCAAATACACACTATATCCTTTTGGGGGAGCAGATCCCTGGGACTTCATGCTTTATTAAGTGGTCCTAACCACCCCCCCCACTCCAAAAGCATCATCTGCTTCTCATGAAAACCATGAGTGCTACAGAATTCTGAATGAGGAAGTGGAGTCCTCCCAATAGCCCTTCCTGGGCCGCCACTTGCTGTAGACATTCTGCAGGCGCTCTCTCTGCCTTTGTTAGAAGGTGTGCATCAAGAGTGCCATGCCTCCGGATCTCTGTGAGTTCGGGACCAGCCTGGACTCCAAAGTGAGTTCCAGGACAGCCTCCAAAGCCACAGAGAAACCTTGTCTCGAAAAACCAAAAAAAAAAAAAAAAAAAAAAAAAAGAGTGCCATGCCTCACTTCTGTTCTGAATCCTACTCTCTGCAATTCACATTCAGTCTTAGCACTCCTGGCTCTGTGTGCAGACTGCATCCTTCCCAGGGCCATGGAACACAGAACTGTGTAGGTGTACCCTACGCATTTGCCTCTAGGAGATCTTACTTGGATGCCTTCCAGTAGTACAAACAGTGCTGACTCTAACATTTCTGTCTCTACAACTCTGCATACTTGCGCAAGATCTCAGTAGGGAAGACTTTTGTTTCTTTGTTTTCGATGTAATTTCTGGACCAGATTTAAAGTCTGGGGGCCTGGGAAACAGGTCAGTGTGGCATAGTGCACTGCCCAGGGTTCAATCCTCAACAGTCTAACAATCGCCCCAAAATGTTCTTGTAAGTTAAACTCCAAGCAGCAGTAAATATATCCCTCAAGTTCTAATGAGAGATTCTGTCAAGGAAGTATAAAATTTACACATTTGCAACAGTACAGAGTAATGCACTATTTGAATTTATTACTACAGAATTGGCTTGCACTCATTTTCCCCTCTTATGAATGACTCCCCTACAGATAAGCTGACATCCAAAACAGTTTCTGAATTTCAACCCCTGGACTTTAAAAGGCACATCACTGCCCTCTCATATTCCAGCTTGGAATGGCTCATCTGTCTGTCTGGGGAGATGGAGGCTGTGTGTCTTTCTGGGCATGTCTATACCTGTGGAGACATGATTCTCTCGTTGTGTCTTTCTTGAATGTTGGCTCCACCAGTGCCTACACCATCAGAAACAAGGGCTGTCCCACGGGTGGGGGTGTGGGGTGTGGGGTGGGGAGTGACTGAATTAACAACAGAAGTCATCTGGCCAGACTCAGGAGCTTCACCCAAAACCATAGTTAAAGGGTTGGGGCTGCGGCTAATGGGTACACATGAAGTCCCAAGTTCCATACCCAATACCACTAACAACAAAAACAACAAATGAGGACAGTACTTTACAGGTGAGGGTGTGGCATTTGGGGGTGGGGGTGGAGGACAACAAAAATCACAGTTTCCAAACTCAGGAATCATTCTACACCTCACCAGCCACAGACGACTTTAATGCAAGTGACTTGTTTCTACTACATAAGGCTGGTTCCAAGCTCTCTATCCTCCAGCCTCAGCCTCTCAAGTGCTGGGATTACAGATGTTCACCACCATACATAGCTGCAACTGACTTTTCATTTTTAAAGCACAATATAAAAAGTTTAGTACCACCGGGCAGTGGTGGCACACACCTTTAATCCCAGCACTCGGGAGGCAGAGGCAGGGGGATCTCTGTGAGTTCGAGACCAAGCCTGGTCTACCGAGCGAGTTCCAGGACAGCCTCCAAAACAATACAGAGAAACCCTGTCTCGAAAAACAACAACAACAAAAAAAGTTTAGTGCCATCTGGGGTGATAGCTTGGCAGGAGTTGTTACTGCCTATTCTACCTGCTGCTAGTTCTGACAACCGAATTTCAATCCCTGGGACCCACAGGGTAGAATGAGAGAAATAGCTCCCTCAAGTTGACAAACTACCTTACCTCCACATATATGCTTGGTACATACAAAATAAA